ATCCATTAAATTCTGCTGAGTAGAAGAAATTTTTCCCTCATTTAAAATTTCATATCAGAAGGGAGTGAATTGTATTGTTCAGGTCTTCAATGATCATGTATTGTTATTATGGCAATAGTTGGACAATAATAATGTTGGAGGCTGATTATAGACATCTTCATTTGATATTATTTTCTATTTTTTACTCTTAAATCAGGTGAAATTCATAAATTATTCCTACCTTTTTTCAGTCGATAATAGGATTTTTCTAGTGGTATTTTCTCTTCATCATCTCATCATTGTTATGTATATTGGCAAGTTTAAGCCTGAGTCTCCATATCAGCATTTCAGTATTATTTTTATATTTTGTATACATATTTATATATGTTAATATTCAGTACACAGATTTTTAAAAAAACACTTTGTCCCTTTATGACATAGGTGATCACAACCCTCCACGGTTTCCTTTTTTATTATCTATGGATTGACTTGATATCTTGGGAATGATAATGAAGTGATTTTCTATTGCCTTCTTCATGGATTGGCATTCAAAGTTTTCCTTAACTCAGTCTACCCTGCTATTTAACCCACAGCTGGAGAGAGAGGAGAGTCAGATTTCATGCCTTTTCTCAAAGACATTTGGGCAAAAGAGAATGAAACAGACTAGGTTGAAATTTGAACTTAGCTTGCTGATTCCACTTTCTGTGCCAGTATCTGTTATATTACCTGTGCATTCATACATATTAGCATATTTGTAATATCTGTGATAATATAGTTGTAAAATATTCACAACTGATTGTATCATCTAAAAGAAGTTAAATACATTTATTTTCAGCTGAATCTGAATCATTTTTTTAACTCATTGAACTCATAATAAAGTTTATTTGGAGAACACACCAATGTCTATCAACAAAAATAGTTATACAGCCTAATATATTAGTGAGATACAAATATTCAACTTTGTACTAGCCATTTGCTCCTTTTAACTCATGATTTATTGTTACACAAACAGTTTTGAAATAGTGCAATTTTCCCAAGTGTATTCTATTGTCAAGTGGTTAGATCTTAGGGATCAACATGTTTAAAAGGTATTTAAGATTTTCAGGTAATACTATCAACCTGACTACTCCTCAGAATTGATTTTGTTTGAAACCTGAATTACCTATACAACTATAAATAATGTTGCAATGAGTGACCAATTCTTGAACACTAAGTAAATAATTATAAACTTCCTAACATTTATAGATACAAAAATACTTGTAAAAATGAGTATTATTTATTATCTGGTTGTTTTGCAGTGTTTGGAGACATGAGGGACAGTAATACTGAGTAAAATTTTGAGTTTGGGGTCAAATGTAGATCAAATATGGATCAGAATCTGACAGAATGATAAGATAAAGAATAAATAAAGAGTGTACAGTCTTTCTTGTATGTTTTTTTTTTTTTTTTTATTATTTATAGATGTGTGTACTGAGAGTCCAGATAATTTAGTTAGAAAATACAAAAAGTATTTAGGGTTTTCTTACTTTGAATTTTTGTTGAGTGCTAAAAGATAAATGTTATTATCATGGCTTGAAAAATGAAAAGGAGATGGAATTTTTATTGATGTACATGTTAATGGCCTGTCCATGTGAACTGCTTGTCTGATAGTGAGAATGTCATATATTTTTGTGTGTAAAGAAAAGAGGGGTTGATTCTCATTAGTTGAGAATGAGTGAATTAATGATAATTGTTATAATTATTCTATTATAATTATTTTTGACACTATAATTAATTTTTATTTATTTTTTCATGGACACAACAGGGTAAAGGAATTGTGTATATAGAAACATCCTTGTTCATACATGTAATGTCTGTGAAGCCCTGTTGAAAATGATGTGAGACTTACATTGAAGAATTTTTTGTGGGTTTGATAGAATTATCAGCTTATGGATACCATGTTCTATACAATATGACATGTGGTTCGCTAGGGATTAAGAAGTCTCCTGGAGGGGAAAGAAGACATGTATTGTCCATGTGGTATCCTGTGGGTAAAGAGAGAAAGAAATTTTGCACACTTTCTTTCATATTGCTTTTTGGCAACTCCCATCTAGTGATATCTAGCAGAAGTCCCTTGCAGACAAGTGGAGTAATCCCACACTGTTTTGAGTTTGTTTTATGGAATTAAAATTTTTGTCTTTACTGTTCTTCAGTTTTATAGAATTTTTAATAATTTTTTTAAATGTTTAATGGAAGTGATGTAAACATAATTGTGATTTTGATTATTTGAATCATATTTTGTTTTTTATGTTGTGGAAATGATTAAATTTTATAAATGCATTTTACTAAATATAGAATGTAAATGTGCAGTAAAGTTTAAAATTGAACAATTAAATTAGCTTGCATATAAAAATTTCATAGGCATGCCAAGAAGACTCAAAAAGGATTAATGTCTATGCATCAAAGCAGCAAGCTTCAGGAAAAGCTACTGGAAATCTAAACTCAGATTAGAAATTTGTGAATATAGTAGAAAATAGACAGTGAAGTATAAAAAGAGAATTTTCAATCAATTGCTATTGAGTAAATTTAAAAAAAAAAGTTTGTATCCATGTAAACACAGATAGATTTGTCTATATTTCTGAGATGAATATTATATTATTCGGACTATTGTCCTCATCTTTGTCACCATATTTATTACAACGTTTCAGCCGTTGTACGCTCCGGCCTTCTTCAGGTGGTTGGAATGTTGAACTGGGGTAGACTGTTCTAGTTCCATGTGCCATGTTTAATGGATGTCAGTTATCCGTTATCTCCTGTTAATTTCCTTCTGAAAGTTCTCCACTGCCTTAACCGGGTATTGAACTCACATTCTTTGGGTCCTGTCAGTGGATCTTTATCCACTGTACCATGTATCCATTCTATTTTTAGAAAATTTAAAATGTTTCACATCAAATTTATAAGTTAATTTTTTATTTACTGTTTGGTTTTCTTTTAATTTTTTTTAAAACACTTCTCTTAAAAGCAAGTTTTATAAACAAACAACAAACCACACTTTTTTATTTAATTTACATTTTTTTTTATAAAATTTTATATTCTCCTCTCAAGAGAAACCTCAGTAAACAAACTTAGTGTATTGCATTATTTTTAATTATTTTATTTTCACCATTTATTTTACATTACTTATAAAAAATTCTTATAAGTGAGCATTAAGGGGAGTACCCTGACAGACAAGGGGAGTAATCCCACTTTTTTAATCCTCTTGGCCATTATTCCTGAAGTAGCTAAAACATAATCATAACAAAAAAGATGACGATACTAGTCCAACTATAAATGAGCTCAAGGTAGTTAAAAAAAAAACCCAAAACCCTGTTTCCTTTAGATATTTTATTCATACGTAAAGCCTTGAGTAATGAGTTTAGCTATCAGAGAAATGACTGGTATTTTGGGGAGTTCTGATTTTTTTTTAACTTGTAGAGGACCGGGGGGGGGGGATGAAAATGAAAAGAAAACATGTGCATTTAAATTTCCTGCTAGAAGAAAAGGTCCAACTACATAAAAATGTTGGATTTGGATTAAGTCCAACTGAAGATAAGGAAGAAAAACAAACAAGACCGATATATATATAAACAAAACAATTACAAAGCACATAGACAGTTAATATTGTGTGTGAATATTTGTGTGTGTGTGAATGTTCGTATTTGGTGAATGTTTGTAATTTTCATAGCGTTTTCCCAGAAATGGGAAACGCTGATCTTCTAAGAGCTTACATCTTGTCGCTGAAATGAAGAAGAAAAAGATTTACCTCACCTCCACACAAGGTGGGATTTGGCACGAGGCCTGAAGGCAAGAAGAGATCGAGGCAAGAGGTCGCCCGGTATTTATAGCATGGGGAGAGAGACCCCTGGTGAAGGATTAGGGAACTAAGGGGGAGGTAACTCCGACAAACTATCTCCAAAGACTTTTTGATTGATTTGTTTTTACAATTTATCAATTCTTTGATGGTTATTTAAAATTGAAACATATTTTGGTTTGTAAGAATAATTCTGTTATTTCTTTTTTGCAAGTGAATATTGTATTAAAAATTTTTCAAGAATAACAATATTTTTTTCAGATAAAAGATCTATTTTTAACCCATATCTGAGGAGGAGGATATGGATTCATACTTTTCCCAAGGATATAAGCACATAAGCGAATTTAATTAACCTGACTGGAATTTAAACTCAGCTTCGATGGCTTATGAAGAAAAATCATTCAGTTCGACATCTGTCCATTACACCACCTGCACATCAATTGCAAAGGGATTTAAATTTAGTTTACATATAAATTAAGTAAACTGTAACTTATCTTCATTAGTTCACTGGAGACAAAAACTGATTTGGTAAAAATACTAAAAAATTATAGGAAAATATGAGGGGAAAATGTCACTCATTTCAAGAGAATTTTGATATTTTCTTAAAATAATTTTTTTAATTCTTGACAAGAAAATATAAATTTGTCTACATTCATGTTAAAAATAATTAAAACCGAGAGAGAGGGAGGGAGTAAGTATATAAATAAATAAAAAAAAAAAAAAAAAAAAAATCATTCAAATGGTAATCTTTTTTAACAGGAAAACACCAACACACCTGAAAGAAAACATGAAACTAAAGTAAACCTATACAAAATTACGTGTAATATTCAATGTGTTTTTATTTTAGTATATTCTGTATTTTAATTTGCCATTATTCGAAAACACGAAAATATAAAGACGAAGAATATAATCTTTTTCTAGTGTCTGTTATCCATTCCTTAGTGAAAAAAAAAAGTCTCTCTGAAGCATATGAAGTGAGATAACGTGTACAAAGAATTCATGTTTCTATGACAAAGAGCGCAGCCGCTTTGTGACGTAGTACGCACCCGCCAGATACAGTCGATTCTATTATTGTCATCCATGATAATTGGAAGATTGCTCCTGGCCGGAGAAAAACACAACTGGAAAAAAGAAACTTGGTGGATCCAACGGACAAAAGCTTTACAAGACGACACATTTAAAAGAAAAAGGCATGCCTCCGAAAATGAAATTTGCTGAAGGTATATGCTTACTTATAAAAATCGTATGTAAAAGCCGCTCTCTGAGATGATGGATAAAAATAAAAATAAAATATATGTTTTAACATTTTTCTTTTTTGTATAAGTAAAATAAATCTCGCCATTTTCATATATCTTTTCTATTCCCTCTAATAATAACTGCATATCAGAAAAGTATATTGATGCCTTTTAGAAATATATTAAATTCGCAGGCAATCTTCGCCATGTCTATTTTTGGTGTATTAATTTTTACGACTAGTCACTAGATAACATGATGAAGCTACTATTTTTTTTTTTTTTTTTTTTAGTCTCACCAATTTCGTTCAGGTAAATCGTTAATAAGTCGAAACGGGAAATCCGTTATCTTAAGTTATTTATTTTGTTTATTTTTTTTATTAAGATTTAAAAATCATCTTTCATGATTAATTCGAAATGAACACATGCACAACAAAGAAAATATCTTAATTTTTTAAGCAGCAGCCTTGTTTGGTTGTAAATGTAACAATAAGAAAAATGCTTAAAACTTTTAATTGTAATTAATTGATATGATGAAACTTATATTTTTTAATTTTATATTAAATGAAATGTAGTTGAATGTTAACAAAAAAAAATACCATTCCTATGTAACGAATTTTGTAGAAAATAATTATTAGTAAATAAATACTCTTTGAAACCTGTTCAGATACCAAAATCGAAGCAATAATATTCGTTCGTTGTGCCTTAATGCTGAATGAACTTGTCTAGCGCAGACCATTACTCTGCGAGTTCAATCCTTACTGTGTGCTTCACAGTCACACTTATGTCCCTCTGCCAGATTAAGCGAAGTAAACACAAAAAAGTGTTCGTTGTGACCTTGTGGGTAATGGCTAGGTAATCTGTTCAAATAGTACGTTCAATCCTTACTGCCTACTAAGCTGTATAATAACAATATAGCAAGTTAGACCTTTACCATTGAAGTGAATATTCATTAATACCTTGGTGCCTCACACTTTTTGTGTCTTTTGCTTTTGTATTGTACTAAGACTTTTAGCTTGCTATCAAGTAGTAATAATTGTTAACGAGTTTGTCTTTCAGATTGACTTGTAGTTTTCAATCATTGCTGGGTACTCAACAGTTGTAGCCGAAAAATATTTACGATGAATGCTGAAAAGTTTTAGACACGACTCTGTCCCCAACTGACAAGACTTCAGAATTTTTTAAATCCTTTCTTCGTTTGTACGAGAATTTTTTCGCTATCCTAAATCAAACCATAAAGATATTCTTCCTTCAATCTCTCCCATGATGATTCAAAAAGTTTTTTCTGTCTTCATGAAAATGTTCACAATAATTTCATTATAGTTGAAAGTAGCAATCAGAATATTAGCTAGTTTCAAAAGTGGGGAAAAACTGATTTAAAAATGAGAGTACTGATTAATAAAAAAAATATTTGCCTCATTTCATTTCTTTTTTTTTTTTTCCATGTCTTTTCTAGAAATGACATCATTACTAAGAAAATTATATAAAATGTTTTTTTTTTTTAAATATTTTTATATTCACTTGTATTTATGTTTCTGGTTTTCTGCAAGAACTTTTAAACAATAACGTGCTGTCAATTGTTTATGAAAGATTACAATAGGAATTAATGGTCAGTTTAAGAGAGATGTAACAAGTTGAAAATCATCAGGGATGATTCATATTGGAACCGAAAGTGCCATCTCTGAATTTGACAAATTTTAGTTAAGTAAATTGAATGAGCTATGTGTGTATATACAATATGTGTAATTTTGTAATGTCTGTCCATTATTGCATGCTGCAAAATTTGGGACTAGTATCTATTATCTTTGAACAGTTTTGATAATTATTATAAAATTTTTGACAATATACACTTTTATGCATTAGTTGCTAATCATAATAAGTTTGATTATAATAGTGACTTAAGAATGCATTTTTGATTAAGAAATATTTATTAAGGCAAAATTGTATTGAAAGTGCACTAATTTCAGAAATTTAATATCCAATCTCATGCAGCATATCTCCTTTCTTTGCAAAACTACTGCTGATAAAATGTGGGATAATTAAAAACAAAAGCAATAATAAGGCTAAGTTAAACATCTACAAATCCAACAGATGTCACAATTTAAATTGAAATCTGATCATCACTATCTTTTAATGTTTTAATGTAAACTAACTGGTGTTTGTTTTATTTCTCCCTCTCTGTTATATGTTAGACTGATTCTTTGAATAAAATTGTTATTAGTCTGAAGAAGTTTTCCTTGGAACAGAACATGTCATTAAGAAGTTTTTTTTTCATCTTGTCATTCACTATTAGTCTGATTTTTATATATTTAAGCATTTGTTAACAGAAACATGAAAGTGTAAAGGAATTTAACAGCAAAACTAGCAATGATTTTATGTTATATTTATTCACCTTAGTTTTTCAACCAGGTTGCTTGAATTTTTAACAGGTGATGGGCTGATTGTTCCAAGGAAAGGTGTTAAATTTTTTTTTCATGTCTTTTACCAGTTTGTGGGGAGTGCTACCAATGCCTGATATAATGGGGTACATCAGAATGCCTACTTTGTGGGTTTTAGGGAGACCATAAAGTTTTGATATAGAAACAAATTTAATAGTGCTTAGACAACTAATTAATAATGAAAACAAATCCAGGCATAAACTTATAGAATATCATTCTAAAATACTGAAACTTACCTAAAACCTACAAATTGGGGATTTCTTTTCATTATTAGTTTTCTAATCATGATTAAATTTCTGTGTTTCCATTATACCCAAACTTTATGGTCTCTCTAAAATGCATAAAGCAGGCATTCTGATGTGCCCTATTATATCAGGTATTGGTAGAACTCTCCACAAACTGGTGAATGCCATAACAAAACTTTTAACACCTCATTGGAACAATCGGTCTATGACATGTTAAAAATTCAGGCAACATAAAAATTTACAGTTAGACAGAAGAATATTTTTGAGTGTTCTTAAATTTAAAATTTTTTTGAAAATCTGATAAGTTTATGTTGACAAATATACATTTATGTGATGATAACTAATAGATAGCAGTCACTAAAGTTTTTTTTCTTTTTAAATTTATGGTTCCCCTGCATAATTTAAAATGGTGGAAATTTGACCAAATTTAGATCTGTTGTCAAATCATTTTTTTTTATATTGTTTGTGTACAAATACTTGGATATTTCCATTCTTGCAAGTGTTCAAGTGTTGGTAGATTGCATCTTTTCTATTTGTTGTCTACATTTGATGAGATTGAGGTGTTTTTTTTTTTTTTTTAAAAACCTTCACAAGAGCAGCAGTTGATTGTTTACGTATGGCACATAATATATTTCCTGAGAGAAAGAAAGTTATTTTTATTTATTTTTAATCATATCATCCCATGCAAGGTAGTAAAGCCACTATGACACAAGAGGTTACTGAATGTGAAAGAATAAGAAAAAAAGAGAAACATTATTAAGGAGTGAGAACAATAGAAGAGTAATTAAGAAGACAGTAAGTAATGATTGACATTGAATTTAAATTTTTGAAAATCAAAATTGGCTGGAAAGCATGAAATTGGAAGAAAGTCCTACAAGCAAGAATTGTGAGAAAATAAACTGTTGGTATAGAACATACGTTTACATCTAACCAATTCAACCGTGAATTGATAAGACTCTGCAAGCAATCTAGTACAGCTCTTAATAAAATCTAGGTATAATAGCAAAGAGTTCATCCAAACAATTACCCTGAAAGTGTTTATTGAAAGGGCACAAGGAAGTTACATTACAGCAGTGAGAAAGTGACTGAAGCTGAAATGCTAGGTCAGGACCAATAATATTGCTGATTTTTCTTTGGATTTTATCAAGAATCTGTAAACATATAGCATGAGTACCGTACCATGTGTGAGCAATATTCAAAGCATGGATGAATGATAGAATTATATGTAAGATAGATTCCAGAGAGAAAAATTGTCTAGCACAACACAGTGAATCAACTTTCTTAGCAGCAGATCTAGCAATAGATTCAATATAGTTTTTCCACTTCATTGTTATTAGCCCGAATTCAGAATGAGTCACTCACATGGAGGTTAGTATCAGCCATTTTGATAGAAAGCAGGAAGGACTCTTTAAGATGATTTATAGTAAGAAGTTTTGTTTTGGAGGCATTAAAATTAACAATCCATCCCTTGTCCTCTTTAACAACAGGCTGTAGTTCATTTTTTTAGATCAGGTGTCAATTTGACTTTATAGAACTAATCAGAATTACTATTGAGAAGGTGTAAATGATTGTGTCCTCAGCATAGATACCAAATTGAGAACTTATCATAAAGGTCATTGATGAAAATTAAGAACAAAGTAGGCCTAAGGATAGATCCCTGAAGGACACCTGCATTAGTACAAAAAGATCAAGAAGAGTGGCTATTCAGGACCACTTTCATTTTGCAAGTTGATAAGAAAGACTGAATCATGTACAACAGATTAGAGATCACATAAATATTTTATTTAATTTCAAAATCAGTCCTATCCTTTTTATATGAAATTGTTATCAATGTTTATTTTTAATTATGTATGATATTGATCATAATTTTACATGCTTAAATTTTTTTCTCTACAGGAGAAAGGGTGTTGTGTTATCATGGTCCTCTTCTGTATGAAGCCAAAGTAAGTTTGTCTTTCCCACTTTATTTTCCTTGCAATTATCACAGGCTTAACATTTATTTTATGTACAAATTTGTAAATTATTAGTGATTATAATATGCTTATGTTTCTAAAATGAGTGTTTCATTTAGGCACATGACTTGCCTATTGTGTTAATAAAGTGCATTTCTGTTACTACAGTCTGAAAGTACCTTGCTTTTATCCATTACTTATTAAGTCATGGTATCCTTAGAACACCAGCACCAAAGATTTCAGTTGCTCACTGCCCCTGGGGAAAAAAAGCATGAATCCACTTTTTCCTGTATTTTATTTTATTGTCAGATAATTGACAAATATCTTGTTACTAACATGTCATGTTAGTTGATATAGAATAGTGTGTATGAGTGAGAATTTGGGCAAACTGTTCTTTCATAACTATTTTTCTTGCTCAAGTAATTTTTTTCTAATTGAATACTGCTGATTTCTAAAATTTCCTATCAAATTGATTGTATAAGTGGATCATAATAACTATTTTAAATTAATATTGGCAATTTAAGTTAATTCTAATAAATGTATATTTCACTGATAGGAATTACATTTTCTTTATCTTATTTTTTATACTTTTCTATTTGAAAGCTATAAAAAAATAAACTGAAGTATTAGTGCCATATATTGTTTTTGATTGGAAAGAAAGTCATTTGTTTTGTCTATGATAACTGTAAAGTTATTTAATTACGTAAGATACTTCATCTAATTTAGTGTTGTGAGCTTTCCACTTTTAGGAATATTTCATGTTGGGCTCAATAATTTTTGAATTGATGTGACTCAACAAAAGTATAGATAAGAGTCATTTGAGACACACTGCATACTTTACAAGTTTGAAAAAAGGTTCATCAGTTTCAGTAGCAGTGTGGAATATTTGCAATATTTATAGAAGAAAAAACACTTATCAGGAAATGGCAGTTTCGGTGAAGGAATCTAACCACCAAAGATTCCATTCATTCTGATTGATGAAATTCAATCAACAGTCAAGCACTCCTAATGATAAGTGAAGAAAATCTCAAGTTGACAGTAATGGTACAACAATTTAGTACAGCCCATATTATAATCATAACCCTCCTCCATGAACTTGGTAAATTGTTTTCATGAGATCTGTCCACTCCTCATCTTAATCAGAAGGTAAATATTTCTTTGTAATTAAGGACAAGATATACTACCAAACCATTTGTGGAAAGGTTTGCTACTAGTGATCAGAAATGGATTCTTTACAATTATATTCAATGAAAGAGAACATGGTTATGATCTATGGAAAAAGCCTTACTTGTTGCAAAACTAGTGAGATAGGGAATAAGTTCTCCTTCATGAAGTGTTGAATTGTATTGAAACAATCAGTTCTGAGAGATATTCTCATCAAATGGAAGCGCAACACCAGTCTTTGTTGAAAAAGTAAGCTTCATTGATTAATTAGAAAAGTTACCCTTACATGATAATGCAAGACCACATATTACAAAATGGAGGAAAAGATTTTGACTCTGGATATAGAAATTTTACTTCACCTATCTTGTCCCTTTATTGGATTATCAGTTTTTAAAGGTCTTTATGACATATAGGATTATAAATAAATTATTTTAAAGATCATATTGGATTATAAATAATTATAGATCTTTATAGCATATAGGATTATCAGTTTAGTTTTAAAATCTTTAGCGCATTTCCTGGATGGAAAGTGGTAAATCAATTATGAAGATGTAAAAAAGAATTGCCTTGAATCTTAAAGAATTCTCTGCTTGAGGTATTGATAATTTGCTTGCTTGATTGAATAACATTATTAAAAAAAAAATAAGGAATTGATTGAATTTGTAATTGATGATAGGTCATTTATATATATTTCAAGAAAAAAACGTGACAGGACTTTCTTTCAATAAAGAAAACTATAAATTAAAATTTTGGAAAAAAATTTAATTAAATATTATGATCTGTGACTTGACTTAAGTCTGTTAACTTTGTATATTGTAAAAATGTAATTAAACTAAATGTTAAGAAAAAATCTCATTAAAATAAAATTTTTAATAAAATCTTTGTTCTGTAGCACATCTTGCAAATATATCAATTGTTTAAACAATTATGTATTGTAATAGTATGAATGGTAGGTTTTAAACGACATGTTAATTGAACAATGAAATTTCTTTTTCCATATTGCATAAAAATAATTCAAACAGTAAATCTACCTTTATATACAAGTTCAAACTAAATATAAGTAACATTTTTCAGTAGCCTATTAGAAAGTTAGCACTGCTAATTCTCTAATTTAAACATAAAAATTAGGAAACTAGTCTTATAAAGTTTTGAAAAATCAAGCCTGACTCCATTTCTAGCTCTGCAGTTGTTTTGCTATTGTGTTCCAGAGACAGCCGTCTACTCTAGTTTATTAGTCATTTAAATCCAAATAATTTGATCAGAGATAAGATGAATATTTAAAAAAAAATAATATCCTGTCTGAAATGATTAAGATAAAATTTTAATTTTTTTTTTTTAGACTGGAAATGTCCTACACCTAATCAGTTAAGATCATGTGGCAAGCCTCTCCCCCACACTAAATGCTGGCATTGAAAATGACAGTTAATAGTATCTTTGGGACAGCTTCTGGATTTTATTTTTAGTTTTGAAGTTAAAAATACAATATGACTGATGGACAGAAATTTGGCTTGTTGCTACATACACATATTTGTTATGTACTTATAAAATTAGATCCATACTTATTTCATTCTATATGAAAGTGATCTTACTCATAGCTTATTTAAACTTTATCCTATATCATTTAGCTTCTTACAATTAATCTATGTTGTTAAACATTTTAATATTTCCTGTTTTTGAACCTTGAATTAAATTTGGATCTTAATCAGATGGAAGCAAAACAGAATCGAATCAAATGGTTTTTATGACATTTTCTAAGCTTTATGAATTTTATTCCAACTTAAATTTCTTTGCAGTGTGTCAAGTCTGACGTTAAAGAAAAAACTGTACGCTACTTCATTCATTACAATGGTTGGAACAAAAAGTAAGTATTTTTGTATGAATTTTGATTTGGTATGAGTAGTTTCACTGGATGTGTGCTAAAAAGTGTGTCATATACAACTCCAGAAATGATGTCCATGTTTGTTACTACTTTTATTGTTCTACTCTGCAGCTTTGATGAATTTATCTATGGGTATTTGTGAAAAATAAATATTTACGTTAAGTTGTTTCTATCCTTTTGTCAAAGGAAATAAACACTGAGAAATATATTATGAATATAAATTAGAATTTCTTGAGATTTACTTATTGACGTTGTGTAAGAAGATAAAAGGCTTCAGTTAAGAATATTCACTGGAGTTTCTACTTTTTTAAGGATGAGTAAAGAGAAAAAATTTTTCATTACAAATGTGACAATTTTAAGTATAAATAATCATAAAAGTTAAATTACTTGTTTTTTTATATAGAGTTTACTGAGAGGAAAAATGACATTCAACTTCAAAAAATATTGAACTTAATGTGGTTTTATATAGTTAACTAATTTTGGTGAACTAAAATTTCATTGAGCCAGGATCTAATTTATGACTCAAATCTCTGTTTCATCTTTTAATGTTTATTCAATCCACATTTAATGTTCCTGTTCAGATCTCTATATATTGAAACAATTAAGCTTTGTAAAAATTATTCTATATCTACATTTTTAGCTTCTTTTTGATTAAAGTTTTAGTCACTGCTAGCATCTCTCTATTTCTCTCTCTCTCTCTCTCTATATATATATATATATATATATATATATATATATATATATATATATATATATATATATATATATATATAATGTGTGTGTGTGTGTGTGCATACATGAATTGGGATAAAATAAGAATCAAATATGCATTAGAAACTGACAGAATTACAGGATAATATTATATTCCAGGTGTAACAGCATAATGGCCATCCCACAAAATGTTTAATATCTAAAAAACCACTAAACTAATTGTTTCTTTTTTCCAGGTTTTCAGATAAGACATTTAGCTTGATACCATTTGTTGTAAGAATCACTGTAAAACACTTGAGTTATTCAGCTAGAAAGAGAACAGATTAAAATTGTTTTGTGCCAGCCCCACTATGTCTTCTCAAATGAGCAATGGTGAGAGGAAAAAAAGATCATTCAGGCATTCAGTAATAGTACTAACATACTCATACTCTGGCTTCTCTCTTCAAAGTCCATTCAAGAACCATCAAGAGAACTGTGAATAAGTTTAAAAAAGGGAGAACAGTAGAGAGAAAAATTGGATCAGGAGATCACAGCAAAAAGAGGGATCATTGTTTCAACTTAGAGCTAAAGAGATCAATTAGAAAAGATCCATCTCAATCCATAATACATTTGGCATGTCGGAGAGGAGTTTCCACTATGACAGTCCAAAGAGCAGTAAAAAAAAAAGCAATGAAATCTTAAATAAGTTGGAAAATGATCCTGGAATATTTTATATATATATTTATTTGAACTTGATATCAATCCTTTATGAGCTTCTGATCCTTAGCTATGATTAATTAATGATGAACATGTCATTTTTATTTATGATTGATTTCATCATGATTCTTCTGTTAAGTTTGGACAGTAATTATACATTCCTATTGCTCAAAGTGGAGTTCAATAGTGTTATAAAAACCTTGGAGCATTCCAGTAATATAATTATATCATCTTTAATCATTTCTAAGATACAGTGGTTCAAAGCTTAATCTAAAAATTACACAATTTTGCTGTTACACCTGGTATAGTAGGCTGATGAAAGAAATTTGAGAGAAAAAAAAATAATAATATTGATAACAGGGCTAATAATAATTATTGTATATTAGTAGGCCTTTTGACTAAATTGAAGTGTGAGGAGAAAAGATATATACTAACCGGTAAATACTCCTATTTTTTTAATATCATCTACTCCACATGTTCAAATTTTTTAATTTGTGTACTGAGCACTTTTTTAAATATCCATTAGCTGGTATAACATCATTCTGATCAACAACTTTTATTATATTATATATATATATATATATATATATATATATATATATATATAATATAAACATTGAAGTCAAAACTCAAATAGTCCAGAAAAACCCAACATGTGGCCTGATGATTGCATCTGAATGTTGACTTTAATGTTCACTTATATATTTGCATACACTCTATCCCTGATATTGAGCACTTTATTCCATAAATATAGCACACCATAAAACTATATTTCTTTATATATATATATACACACACACACACACACACACACACACACACACAAGTGGTGGTGTTTTGATAAGACAACAGATGTGTTGAAACAAAATGGGTATTTTTGTAGTGATTTTATAATATATTTATGTTATAATTTTCAAATAAATTATATTTGCTATACTCTGTATTGAGCACTCTTAAGAATAGTATTTTTTAGTTAGTGGAATTTATTCTGTATACACCAATCCTATACTTGTGTGTGTGCATATATATATATATATATATATAAACGAAACAACAAAATTCCATGGAAAAGTCCCACTTTATTGATTATTTCTCGTCTTGTTGAAAAAAGAAACAGGTGTGTCTGAAAATTCTGATTGTAAAATCTCTCACTTTGTGCATCAATTTAGCCATAAGGCCCACTAATATATAATATCATCAGTCTTAGTAAAAATATTTTTATCATTTTGTTGTTGTTTTATTTCTCAAATTTCATTTACTGACCTATTAAATATATATTTATTATTAGGTTTTTTATTTAATTTTCCCTACAAATAATCCTTTTCATTAACATATTTTAAAATAACTTTATTAACCAACAACTAATAAATTACATTGATAAATATTTATTAAAGTATTAAAATTATAATCTGAAGTATACATATAATTTACTTTGTGATAAATTATTTTGTAAATCATTTTGGTTTAGCAATATTTTACTATGTAACTCTAGGATATCAACTGTTTGTTTATATTTTTATCAGATAAAGTTAATTTCATATTGTTGGCTTTCAATAATATTTGATAATCTGTGTTTAATTTCCATTAATAATTTAATTTTTTTATATATGTAGCATTTTTATAATGTCTGAAGCAAAATCTGATCAGTTAGAAATTTGTAAATTTTCTTCGTTCTCCAAGTTTAGCTTTAAGAGATATAGAAAGAAATGATTTAGTTGAATTTTGTAATCTGCCAACATGTGTAGAGTGTTGAAATGAAACTAAATAGTTCTTTTTATTTTCTTCATTTTTGTTTGAGTTTTTATAGTAATGATTTCCTCCATGCGTTTTGCAAATTTTAGGAGTACAAGAGATTTTAGCTTTTGCTTCAGTCTCTCCTTTCTTTGAATAATTTATGGTAATGTGTGATAATAACTGAGAACTTTGGTTGGAACTTTCAGATATAAGCTATAAATCAATATGATGTCAATAAGAAAAATTTAATAGATATTTTATATTTTGTAGGAATTATCTTTGGATAAATTTACATAAATATTATTGAAATTTTAAATTGAACTATGAAAATGAAAGTAAAATTCTCATTCCCTTCCACACATAATCCTGTAAAAATCTATTTAGTTTATCTTTTGGACATCCTTTCTGGGTTGCACTTTATATATATATATATATATATATATAAAAATGTGTGTGTGATTGAGAATTCATGTTCATGGGGTTGGATGAATCTCGCCCACACAAGGATTCTTATGACTTTTAATCAAAATCTGTCTTAAATTGCCTTTGTGGTCAAGCCCCTTTCAAGTATGGTCACAGGTGCCTCTGCCCCCAAAAGTAATATATATATATTAAATTTTGTATAATTTATTACTGTATGTTATATATCCAGATTTTTTTAAATAAAAGAAAAAAATGATTTTTTTTATAAGACATACTTTTAAAATTCATTAATCAGTTTGGGGTTGAGTCGGATAATGCCTTTAAATATGTTTGCATTATAAACAAAATAAAATTTCTTAAGCCTTTATATATGTGGTACAATTAAGATGTTTATTTTTTGTAAACATTTTTTAAGATGTTTTCTTTTTTATGTACATTTTTAGTTCTTGATAAACCAATAGGAATCTAGAATAAACTTTGCCATAAAAACTTACTTTAATTCTAAACTTAATTTTCAGAGCAAATTAGGATTCTAATTTTTCATTTATTTTGTGCAATCTTAGTTTGAAACTTTTGCTACACTTCAGAATTATTTTACAATATATAAAATTTGAACTCTTTCTCTTATTGGTATTTACTTAATTGGTAAATATTTATTTTGATAAAATATACATATGCTGTAATATTGTGTAGTTTTGTAGGAAACTAAATGAGATTGTATATTGCCTCAAAATAGCGTTTTATCATGAGCACAATGTTAACCTTTGTTGGGTAATTTTATTTGTCATTTTCATTTTCAGTTATAACATGTATAACACATTTAATACTTTTGAATAAAATAATCTTTTATTCAACCATTTTTATTTCTTTGTGGCATTTAGTCTGAATTGTATAGATAGGGTCAGATCTTATGATTCTGTTATTGTACCAGGTGTGGCAGAAATATCTTCTGCATAATGGTAAGACATTCACTAGATGAAGACATTATTGCCACTAATGTCTTACCATTATGTGGGAGGTGTATTTCTGCTGTACGTTGTACAATTATAAATATGTTTAATTCTTTTCTTATATATTTTTGCTAAACGATTCTTCTCTATACAATTAGGCAAGGAAACTCTTACAAATTTAAAAATTGAAATAAATTCTTGTATAAATTTGATTGTCTTTCATTTACACAAGAAGTGTAGTCAATCAAAGACAAAGGATAGCTCTTGAATTCAGTTCTGTAGTAGATATAAATGTGTTGTGTGTGTGTGTATATATATATATATATATTAGTCTGTATGGGTTCATTCAGTCTGATATAGACCATACTTAACAACGTAGATGAAGATTATTTACATTGTTTGAACTGTTGTCCTCATCTTTATTGCCATATTCACAACGTTTCAGATGTTTTACACTCCAGCCTTCTTCAGGTGATTGGAATTCGAACTGAACCTTTTATTTCATCCACCAAATTAGATTGTTCTAGTTACACATGCCATGCCTCTTTGTGAATATGGCAATAAAGATGAGGACAACAGTCCAAACAATGTAAATAATTACAAAACCAGAAATAGAAACAGATATAGATGATATTTTTCTTTTTATAACATCTTTGAGACAAACTTGTTGTTAAGATACTTGATTCATAAAATCATTCTGCTGCTAAACTCAAATATTTTTGCTGCTTTATTTGGAACATCTAATTTTATTATCATTGTGCTCCTGTTATATATTTAGAGATTTTTGATAAAATAAAAAGAATCTGCAATTTCATTGGCCTTGATCTGGCATCTCAGCTTCAGTCACTTTTCCATTGCCATAACGTAGCTTCCCTGTGCCTTTTCTATAAATATTTTCATGGTAATTGTTCTGATGAGCTTTCCTCTATCGTACCTAAATTTTATGAATTCAAGTGCAGTGCTATATTGGCAGCAAGGTCTCATCATTTTACAGTTGAAATGGTTAGATGTAACCGTAAGTTCTATGCTAACAGTTCCTTCTCTTGCACTTCTCACTTGTGGAACTCTCTCCTGGCTTCTTGCTTTTCAGTCAACTTTGATTTTCAAAAATGTAAATGCAATGTCAAGTGTTATCTTCTGTCTTAATTCCTGTTCTTTTATTGTTTTCTCTCCTTAATAATTTTTTTCTTTTCTCATATTTTTTGACACTCTGTAATCTTGCTTCTTAATGGCTTTATTGCCTTGCTTGGGGTGAATAGACTACTAGAAACTAATTGCAAATATAGTTTGTACTTTTTTTTCAAATAAAGTTGCTATAAACATATATTAAAGTCTGTTCCATATTAGGAAAAGACTTTTTTTATCATTAATGATATCTTAATGATAATGATATATTTCAGACAGAACAAAATTAACAATAAAAGATTAAAACTTGTAGAAATAAATTTACATATTTTTTTTAAATTTAAAAGTGCAAATAAACTCTATTTATTAGATAAATCTTAAAATCTTCGCCTGTTTTGGAAGCTTCTACAAATTTCTCTAACTTGTTATTGTTAAACTTTAATATATTGCACTTTGAGATGAATACTATTTTAGAAACCTGTTTAATAGGCCAATTATGTTTCATATAATACAAGTGCTTATATTTATAATTTCTGATTTAATATATTGACAAGTTTTAGTAATCTGATATTTCAAATCAGTGGAATTTACAGATGTTAGTTAAAGTGACTTCAGTGGTTTAAGTTGCATGAACTGAACATTCAGTTTTGATGATCAAATATTGAGCTTGTAGGAGGAAAAGAAAATATCTTTTCTCACATCTTTATGATAGAAGGTACATCAAAAATTTATAAAGTGATTTGTAAGAACTAATGATCTTGGATAATACAAGAAGCTTATGCTAAGAATCTTTTGGAGTAGACACTGCGATGAATTGCTTGCTCAAAAATCTGACAGCATATCTTGTACTAATTGGAAGGTGATATAATTTGAAACCAGTTTAATGGTTTTCAACAGTATTCTTTTTGATGAGATAAAATAAGTTGAATTTTGATTAGCTCATTGGATTTTAGGCAAAATGAATTTAATTAATCAGGTTGGAAAGTGATAAAACTTGAGTACATAAAACTTGGTAATGTCATCCATTTACCATTTAATTCTTATATATATATATATATATATATATATATATATATATATAAAGTATCAATGAAATCTCAATAGTGTACTGCTTCCAAGTTTATAAATTTTATTTGGAAATGGTTTTTTAAAAATCAATTTGTTCTTGTCATTCAGAGAGATTTTTGGACAGTTGAACTCTGTTTTTTGTGTGTGATTTTTATTGAATCAATTTCTGTTTGGATATTTGTGTTTTAATTGTAGAATCAATTTAATTTCTTGTTGATCATATCAATATATTTCTTTTGTATGTAACCTTGAAGTTTTCAAAAGATCAAATTAGTGACTTTGTTTTACTGTGCAGCTTTAAAATTGTTAAAATGCTTCCTAACAACTATATTGATGTTTTTTTAAGTTTAATATTTTGATATTATCCGATTTTTATTTCTATATTTAAATGTGTTTTTATAGTAAATTCCAAAAGTGACTCTCAAGTTGTCTTCATTAGTGGCATAAAGAAATTTTGGAGTTTGATGACCTATTTGCATTCCTATCTCTGAAAGCTGAAGTGAATTGATTGAAAATAAAATTTACCCAGCAAAGTGCATCTACTTCATTTTACTAACTAGTAATGTAGTAATGCTTTATATTTTAATACTAGATAGTTTTTAGTTAAAGATTATCTTTTTGTATATATATATATATATATATATATATATATATATGTGTGTGTGTGTGTGTTGGACTAGTTCTTTGAGATTGGTTGTTTTTCCTATAATAAAGTGTTGAAATCTTTGGGCAAGCTTCCCCACCTCCATTGCAACTGAATTCAGTTGTAATAGCAATTTCTGTTTTTTTGTTTTTTTTTGGTTCTTGTAAATGCATGCAATGCTGAAATTGTAAGCATCTGCTGGTGCGTTCCTTTTTAGTTATATCAAAAAATTTTATTTAAACATTTTCCCATTTTAAAGTATTATTTTCTAACATGTTTTTACTGTCTCCTGAAAAAAATTTAATAGTATTATTCAAGGACAAAAAAAAAAAAATCCAATATTTTTTTTTAAGTTCAGTTTTAAATATTTCTTTAATATAATCAAATATCTATTAACATCTACCAGAATCTACTGGTGAAATGTGCTATGTCTCTCATAAGGACTTTCTATATTGCTCGATTTTGCTCTCTGTTTTTTTTTGTTTGTTTTTTTCTTTTCTTTTTTTAAATAAAAAAAATCAGGGAGTGAATAGTACTTTACTAGAAACCTTGTGATGGTTAGTTTCTGCACATTTTAGTTGTATCTTCTGACAGGTGTGAACATACATTTTTAGTTTGATATCTGTGTATATATATATATATATATATATATATATATATATATATATATTATATATATTTATTTATTTAAACACTTTAGTTGCCAGAGATTTTTTAATATTTTTGTTCTTTAAAAATTGCATTTTATTTCCCAAAATGAAGTTGCTAAACTATCCTTCCTCATCACTTTCTGGTTCTGGAAAGACATTTTCTAAAGAATAACCAAGGTAGTTTGAAATATTTTATGGTATAAATGCAATTTCATTTTAAAGAGAAATAAGCTTTTTCAAGTTTGTGTGATTTTGGCAACTAAAGGGATATATATATATATATATATATATATATATATATATATATATATATATATATATACACAATATATATATATAATCAGTATTAAAAAGAAAAAAAGAGATGTGTGTCTTCTGATTAGCTAAGGCTTACACATGTCCTTTCCGGCCATGATCTCTTTTCAGACTGAAAAAGAAAAAAAAAGGAAACACACTCTCTGGCAACAAACTCTCTGATGAAGAACTCTTTGAAAGGAACTCTTCTGAACTGAACTGTTTTGAATTCTCTGCCTGCTTCCTTCCGTTTGTCAAATGGAGTCACTATGAGAGGGGCTTTAAGAAAGAACCTGCTTTAAGGTATAGTTCCTTGACTGGGCGAGCTCCATCCACTCTGTTTTTTGAACTGGCCTCATTCAAACTTGACCATATCCAAAACATTCAGCTTGTTACTTGAATTTTGGGGAGACTGAGTTGAAAATAATTCTTCAACAGATAATGACATTTTTTTTTCTACAGATCATCATCTTTTTAACTTATTGTTTATACAGAACTAAAAGAAACATACAAAGAAAAGTACATTTTAGGCCCCAAAGCATTAAAAACATTTCATTAAAATATACAGTTATTGCATTTGGTTGAATTATTGAAAAAAAATTGAACTTCAAATATTTTTTTTGTTTTGTAGATGAATCTTATTTTCCTGATATTATTAATTTTTTTCTTTATAAGTTTTAAGCAATACAAGTTTGTGATTGTTTTGGAGAAAAATTGAATTTTTAATATTGACTTAGAATTATTTATTTGTGTCTAGAATAACCATAGTGCTTGTACTTTCAAAATATCAAATATTTATCAACTAACTATATATATATATATATATATATATATATATATATATATATATATATAAAACAAAATAGTGTTCATAATTCATTTTTTACATTCTCCTTTTTTATACTTACTAGTTTAAGAATTATATTTCTTTCATAAATTTAATTCTAATCTGTTCAGGAACTATTTTAATGAACCTGAGTTTTGGTAAATAAAACCTTATTCTGAAAAAAAAATTGTTTTATTTTGTTTAAAAAAAAATTAACTCCATCAGATAATGAGAAAACAGTTTTTAAATTTGGCTTTCTAATTAATTAATAATGATTGTCACACTGTAAATAACAAATTTATTAATTGAAAAGGGAAAAATTTTGCCAAGTGACTGTGCTAATGTCAATTGTATAAAGCTGCTTTTCCAAACTTATTGTATACATCTTGCCACAAATTTCAACGTCTTTCTTAGTCTAAATATTCAAGCATGTTTGATTACCCTTTAAAAGATATTGACTTAACTCTTAAATTATGTGAAGCAATAATAATTTTTTTATAACTGACTCATCAGTGTTGAGTTTCCTGTAAACTTGGACACTGCCAATATAGATTTTATTTTTTGAAATCATTTGCATGCTTTTTGATGTGACACAACAAAAAAATCAGTTTATCACTTATTTATAAAATGGAAATAAGAATTTAGCATAAAAAATGGCTTCTCAGTTTTAACTTTAGAATAAAATGAAGTAAGTAATATTGGTTGGAATTAATTTGGTTTAAAAAAAAAAAAAAAGAACAGCTCATAATTTTCAAAACTTATTCGAATTTTCTTTTTATAATTGTTTTCATTAAATTAAAAATCTGTATAATATTACAATAATTTCTTGAAAATTTTTCTCTTTTTTTATTGTTAATGTAAAATATATTTTCTAATATAATACTGGCCTCCCTAAAATATTGTTTTAATAACATTTTGATTCTTTAATGTTATTTTGAAAACTGGTATGACAACCATCAGTCTCTGGGAATAAAGAAAACTTCACATTGACTTTTAAAATTTAAAATAGAAATTATCTTTTGAGTTTTCTTTGTTTCTTTATTTCTGTAGCTGGTTGGTTATCTGGCTTCTTTCATTTTTTTTTTTTTTTTTTCATTTTTTTTTCTTTTGTTCAATATTTTTTGTCCAGTTCTTTAAATGGAGCTCTTTTTAGCTCAGTCAAGCTACACCTGTCTCATCATGCCTCTTAGACTATGCACTGAAATTGCTTTTATATTTGTTTCATTAAACAATAAATCCCACTCATTCCTCAAGTTCTTAACCTTGTCTTCTTCATGGAAACTTTATATAAATTACATTTTTTTTTTTTTTTTTTTTTTTTTAATCTTCAAAACCAAAAATTGTTTTAATCTCATGGTTAGCTTCATTTTTCACTTCAGGAAGGAAGAACATTTCTTTAATGGCTGAACCAGTCCAAACACACTTTCATACTAACCTTTATAACTTCTTGGCTTTTGGATAGCATTATTTTAACATTCATTGAAACAATTTGCCTGGGGCCATACTCTTTGTTTTGAATTATTAAGGCACAAAAAGGTTGATCAATTTTAAACTTTTTTTGCTCTTTTGAATGGTTATCCTCAATTTTGTTTGAAATTGTTTTCATAATTTATCAATATATTTTTTATCAAAGTGTTGTAGACAATTGACATAATTTTGTACTGCATCCACAACTAGCTTGTTGACCATAAAGGCAAAGATGATATTGAAAACGTTAAAAATATTATTTCTTTGTCAAAATAATTTATGCTTAATGTAATCTTTAATCTTTCTTTTATCATATTTTTATGATTGCCTAAAGATACTGCAAGTGATCTGTTTTTGATACATGCAGTCTATAGACAATTATATTTTTAAAGAACTTCAACTATGAATTCTGAAAAATTAAAGTATGTTTTCTTTAAAAAGGATTGAATAGTCATCAAATCAAGTAAAATGCATCAAACAAATCAATTTTGTGTGTCAATATTAATCATGCTATTTGTCATTGATTATTCTAGTAAAATACAAATGAAAATACATTAGAATTTTTCAATTTACAAATTAACATAAGTATTATGTTTTTGTGATATTTTTGCAATAAAAGAAATATCAAGATATGAGCAGAAAAATTTGGATTTTGAAAAAAATCCAAATAAAAAGAGTATCTATATTTCTTTTAATAAGTAAAAATGACTTTATCAGCTTTCAAAAATTGGTGCAATATTTTATTATGATGTATTGCATGATGAAGTAATGGATAGCAGCTCGTATTGAGGAATTAGAGAGCCAAGTTCGAATTCCAGTCGAATCCATTACATTCACTTATGTGCTAATACCCTTGGGAAAGATATGAATCCTCGTCTCCCCACCCAGATATGGGTAAATAGCAGGGTAGACTGGGTTCTATACTATAGCCTTGGATGGCAAATGGTCTACTGCAGAGAGAAATGGCAACCTACTGCGGGGAAAAATTCTACCTCATCAGTCATGTATCAAAAGATACAGGATCACCTAAGCGTGTATCATGCATGGCATTGAAATAAAATAAAAAAAAATTTTTTAATACATTGTAACTTTTATCAGTTTATGATCTCTGCTAAAAATAATTGAATTAATAAATTAAAAATAAGTTAAATTATTTCAAGATTGCCATGTTGTATAAATTCTGATAACATTAAATTTGTTTACTGTTTTCCAACATTGACCACATAATTTTAATTTTGTTAAGGTAAGCAAGAAATTGCATTGGCAATTACTTGAAAAATTCAAACATCTTTACTCTTGTGTTATCATCTTTGCTTAGTACATTGAAACTAGTATAATACTCTTAAAAAATTATTGGATTATTTATATATGGATTGGTACTTCTGTTGCAGATCAGAATATTTAAATGTCCTGCCTCAGATCAGTGTAGTATCTGTGTGTTCTGTCATGGATCAGTGCAGTATCGGTGTGCTCAAAATGTGTTACACAATAAAATTGCCCTTACAGCTTGATGAGCCAGAAGATAAAAGTTAACTTGTTGATTTGGTCATTTTATTGCAATTGTCCTGTATGCCATTTTTAGCATCTTGGAAATTGCAACCTGATGAAAAACTATTGAAAAAAAAAGCCAAATTGTTACAATTATTTTAACTGTTTTTATATATATATATATATATATATATCCAGATGTAATGATAACGAGAATAATATAAATTCTAATGTTCATAGCTTTAATTCAAAAGAGAGCTCAATACCAAGAGTAGAGCAATAATTATTTATTATAGATTTTTACATATGGATAAAAACAATTACCCACTACAAAGATGCATTCTTGTTTTGATGCTTTATCTACATCTTGACTGGTGGAAACTAAAAGTGGTTATGAACATTTCTTTTCAAAAACAAGTCTCCTATGATACGTTACTTCCTTAAAAACTATAGGGAGATACACCTTAAAAGGAAACAGAGATGGGTGAAGAAGTGGGAGAAGAATGGAAAGAAGTGGAGGTTACGGAATAAGATAATAGTAGTTTTGAGGAGGCACAGTGGAGTAACGGATAGTGTTACAGATTGAGGAATCGGAGAACCGAGTTTGAATTCTAGTTGAATCCATTATATTTATATATGTGCTAATACACTTTGGAAAGTTATGAATGCTCTTCTTCACCCCCCAGCTATGGGTAAATAGCAGGACAGACTGGGTTCTGTAGCCTTGGATAGTAACTGGTCTACTGCAGAAAGAAATGGCAACCTACTGTGGGAAAAAATCTGCCTCATGTCATGTATCGCAAAATATGTGATTGCCTATGTGTGTATCACAGTTTTGATAGTGGAAGTGCACACTAAAGTTTTTGATACTATGCAATGGTTAGATATTTAAGCCCCCACATTAAAACTCCAAGCAAAAGGACAGATAGAGAAGGGTAAGAGGTGAGGAGGAAGTAGAAGTTAGGAAGAAGAAATGTAGAGATAGTTGTAGGGTAAGGTCATAGTAGTAATCGAAAAAGATTCCACTGGTGAAGGGACAATTATTTTAGGTCAGAAACAAGGCTGAGTGACCCCAAGTTTCAGTTGCAGTTTCTGCATCCTGATAAACTTAGTATGTAAATTAATAAAAGTATGTAAAAATACATGTTATTTTTTAAAATAAATTTTTGTTCAGAATTTAAAATATAAGTAAAAAGACATAGAAGGTGTAGACTGCTAATATAAATTTTCTATAAACATTAAGCCCAATATCAAACTATATACCTTGTAAAATAAGTATAGATATAAATCTAATTTTCTGATATTATTGCTAGTATTGTACATGTGCATAAAACATTTTAGAGTTGTAATTTGGGATAGATCAGTAAAGGTGGATAACACCATATAAAATATATAAAGGAGATTAGTCATAAGTTTGAAGTTTTAGCAAGATTGTAATGTTAGATCCTTAATGTGCCTACAAAAAATGGAAGTCTTGGATCTTTGATTTAACAATTGACCATTATTGAAATGCCTAATAATACATATTTTTTCTTGCAGACGTAAGAAACAAGGTTCTTTCAGAGATCTGCAGGTTCTGGCCTATTTGAGAATTTTCCACTTAACCTTGGGTGTTTTGTTTTCTTCCTGCAGTTTCCAGAAATATTTAGAAAGTGAAATCATGTTGTGTTTGCTTGCATTTATAAAAGAGGATATGTGGTTATAATATCTCTTATTAAAATCATTCCTAGTGGACTCAACATGCAGTTTTATATTATTGGGGTTTTCAGTTGATGAGATGGAACACATATATACAATGGATTTTGTTAGGCATTTGTTTGATAATGGGCATTGGTCTGGAATTCTACATTACATAGTTTGGTTGTCTGGGGTATACGAGAATCTGTGTTTGGATTGCATTTATTATCGTTATAAAGTTTTAGTATTCTATTGTTGTGCAATTTAATGTGAGATTATCAATTCGACTAAGTTTGAAGTTGGAGAATCAGCAAAACGATGCTAGAGCGTGTAAACATACAGATTAAGAACTACAATAACCTTACCCTACAATTATCTCTACATTTCTTCTTTTTTTTCCTATCTTCTACTCCCTAACTCACCTCTTACCCCTCTCTATCTGTCATTTTTGCTTGGAGTTTTAACATAGCAGCTTAAATATCTGACCATTGCATAGTATCAAAAACTTTAGCGGACACTTCCGCTATCAAAACTACTATTATCTTATTCCATAACCTCCTCCTCTTTCCATTTTTCTCCTACTTCTTCACTCATCTCTGTTTCCTTTTAAGGTGTATCTCCCTATAGATTTTTAAGGAAGTTATGTACCATAGGTGGCTTGTTTTTGAATGGAGTTGTCCATAACCATTTTTAGTTCCCACCAGTTGAGATGCAAATAAGATATTGAAACAAGAATGCATCTTTTTAGTGGGTAATTGTTTTTGTACACATGTAAAAAATCTATAATATATATATATATATATATATATTTGCATGCACACAGACAAAATTGTATTTTATTTATACAGATTTATTGATAAATATTTAAACAAAACTTATATTAAAAAGTAAAGTTTCTTTAGTGTTATTGTTAAATTTTTATGACTGATAAAGCTAATTAATATTTGTGTTGGGTAATTCAAATATTTATGGGACTGCTCAAAAGAAATGAAATTATATTCATACTTAAACCTGGTTCAAACTTAGTGTAAAAATCATATAATTGCACATATTCAAATATCTGAGTTTTAAGACATGATTGTTAATATTTTCTCTCAATGTAGGATTGGTCCTCTGTATATTTTCATGCAGTTTTCTTGTTGACATTTCTTTAAAAATTCTTAATGCCACACTATATTAATGATTTATTTCTGTAAAATCATCCTTTTCATAATCCCTTGAGAAGTCATCCTTTTTCATTTTAAAGATCTCTTAAAAAAAAAATAACAAGTGATAAAATAACTTTCCTCCAACTTACTGAGGAATTATTTTCATATTGCTTTCAATTTCTTAATCTTATATGCTATTATTTATTGGAAGGCTACTTTTTAAAAATTTATCTCCAATACAAAATTCTTTCTCATTTTGTTGTCTTGCATTACAGGGTCGATTACTGACCAGATTGTTATTTATGCTAAGTTTTTTAAGAAACTTTTCTTGTATAGTATTATCATTTTTAGATGATAATAATAACCAAGAATTATATTTCTTCTTTTTACAATTTCTTGTTCACAAAATAATTTTTAAATAATTCCAGAATAACAAATTTGTTTATTTTTACAGATAAATAATAACCTTGTCTTTGCTGATATTTTTTTCTTTTCTCCCTGTAATCATTTTCATATTGTTCTTATTTGCTCACCTTTCACATTACTGTTTTGTTACAAACAGAAACATGTGGAAATTTGAACATAATCAATATTGATGATCTCCTCCATTCTTATACAAATCTTTATCAAAGCTTAACTACAATAATATTCTTACAGGTTGACTCTCTTTTTTTTTTTTTTTTAAACATATTTGCCTCTTATATTTTTGGAATAAAGTTTCAGATTTATTTCTAAAAGTTGGGGAGAAATTTGGCAAAATGCATATGAACAGATACACTTTGTTTTTTTGTAATAATTGTCAGGACGTGCAATGGTAGAAAGCATTTAAATATATTTGTACTTCGCAGAACTTTTTTTCATTTTTTTCTCTCTCTATTTTAAAACAATTTCATGGACTCCTAATTTAAATTAACCTGTCTTTTCTATAATGATTATTTACTTTTCTTTTTATTAGTTGGGATGAGTGGGTTCCAGAAACCCGAGTCCTCAAATACAACGATGCCAGCTTACAAAGACAGAAAGAACTACAGAAGGCTCATGCGTATGTACAACAGTTTTCTTTACATATTTATTTTCTTTCATCTCATTTTTTGGTTTTGCTATCAAACTTTTTTTTTCTTTTAGAAACAATACTCAAATGTACAAGATGCTTTGGTTGTTAAATATAATTTTTGAATTTATTCTTTTCATTTTTGTCATAGTTTTGTTGCTATACAACATACATAAATAGAGATGTTTCAGAATTAAAAATAAACTACAATTATTTTCACTGTTTTCTTAAGATAATCTGTATATAAAAAAATGGTTAAATTTTAAAGACGCATTAATCAAGCCCAAAAAGGAGTGTCATTTAGCATGATTATAAAATGAAAAATTGAATTACTAAATATATTAAGAGATAAATTTTTTTTGAGTAGAAGATTTAGATTCTTTATATGATCACTAGTTTTAAACTTTTCTTGTTTGTTTTAGTTTTTATCTCTAAATTCTCCTTATATTAATTTCTCTTATTATTGATGGATTTGCCATTCATTTATAAGAATATACACAAGTCCTCTTTGAAAATCTGTAATGATTTTTTTTTTGTTTTAAACAGAAAAACACTTTGCTTCAATTCATGCCTCTGTTTTTTGTTTTTTCTTTTAATGTAAAACATTTTGTCTCACAAAAATTGTCATATGCCTTATTGCTGACTCACTGTTCAAACATATCCAAATACAACATTAGAGTCTTTGATCTAAGAGTGTGCTGAAAAGTTCTTGGCTTGATCCACTTTTCCAAATCAGTATTTCAATGATGAAACATCAGAATATTGATTTTTGGAAAGTGGGTCAAACTAAGAACTTTATAGCCTCCTCCTCATAAATAAAAATTATATCATATATTGTAAGTATAGATAGGACTTAAATTTGTATTCATTACTTCTAATCAATTGGGAATAATCAATTGTTCCTGTAAAAGAGATCCAAACATTTTATTTTGTGAATAACTTCAAAAAAAGTTTTGGATTTGCAATCATTTTTCAAAATAAGTTTTTTTAAAAAACTTGCCTTTATTGTTTATTTTTCTTTCTCATCAAGCATTAATTTATTTCCTTAATCCATATGTAAAATAGGCCTATTTTTGTAGACAGTTTTAAAACACTTAAGTTTTGAGAAAGCAGATTAAATGTACTTATTTAGTTTCTTGTCAGGTATTTTCTTATAATATAAATGTTCATGAACAAATGTAATAAACATGTCAACCTAACTTATTCTGCACAATTTCACTTTTTTTACTTGTACTTTCATCTCTTTTTGCTGCTTTTTATCACTATTATTTGGGCTTCAAATTTAAGAATTCAGAAGAAAGGAATTAACTTTAGACAAGACTTGAACTCATTTCCTGTACCAATGCCAATACCATTTTGATCACAGAAACTACTGCAGCCAGATTCTAATCCTGCTGCTGGTATTACTTTTGATTTGACCTATTTTTCTTTTTCTCATGTCCCTGTGTCGATTATCTGGTTGTTGTTGTAGAAGCATTTTGAAATGTCTAAAATTCTTAGATTAAATATTAACATTTTTGTACACTTTTTCTTTTATGCTAAAATAAATGTATAGAATAATGAAAATATGTAAGTTCAGAAAAGTCAGTATTACATACAAACATGATGATGATGAAAATATATTAATCTGCAGTGAACATCATATTGCAGAAAGCCTGTTGATATCAAACTTGGGATATTGTAAATCTGTTGATATAAAATAGGTCTTGGATTATAAGAGATATGTGACTTGATGTTTTGCATGTAGATATTCATCTATAGTGCAACATATATGGATTTGTTCTTATAAAGAGCAAAATAATAAAAACATTCATTATTCACTGTAAAAACAACATTTTCAACATTAGATTTTTATGGAAATTTCAATCAATTGTAAAATAACAATATTTAGTTTGATATACTTAGGGTAGCTGATCAATATGCTAGTTGCATTTAAATGTAATTGTATGAAGATTTCTTGATTAGTTGATGACTATTTCTTTTTTTGCATTGTGTTAATATATACAAAATTTAACATTCTTGTTAACTAGCAATATCAGAATATTTGTTTATTCTGATGTCATGGTCTAGTGATTAGTTTGATATGTTTATGTACCTGATTGATAAGGTTTTTGCTTCTGAATATGATTACCTTTATGAAAACTTCTTGACTTATTTTATTTAAGTCTCTTCAAAATGTTTCCAATTATAATAATTTATATTTTCTCCCATTAATATTTGTCAAAGCTAAATGATTATTTGACAATTCTCTTTGAATCAAGCTGATGCCTATTTATAGGTATCACCTTGATTTGAACACATTTATTAGTTTATATAGATTTTTGGTCTATTTTATTAGTTTATATAGATTTTTGGTCTATTTTATTTGTTGTCATAAATATTACTACCAGTATCTTCTGGTTCTGATTTATTCTAATTGGAATTTGAGTTGCATCTTTCTCTGACAGGCAATATATTATTGGCATTAGAAAGGAACATACATGCTATTGATTTGATCATAAAGTTGAAATTATAGTTTGTATTTTTAAGAAAATGATTGCACCTCTCTCTCTCTCATATATATATTCTACTTCAACAGAAATAGGAAAATAGATACTTGGTTTTGTAAAGGTATTTTTGATAGACAAGCAGCATCTTCAGCTATGCATGTTATTAACATCAGTTGAATATCTTTTAAAACTTGAAGTTAATTCTTTTTAAACTGATATACTAAATCTTATTCACGTATGAAACATTCTCTAACTTGTAAATAAAAAAAAGTTTAAGGCTTATGGACCACATTCTTATGGCATTGTCTCATTAACTAACCAGTAAAAACTTCATAAATTTATTGAATCACATGATCAAATAGATTTTTTTTTTTTTTTTGCATGTATTGTTATGCTTAGTTTTACAAAATTTATATTATCTTCATGGTAGCTTTCATCTTTCAAAAAGGTCTTTACCAGAATAAAATAATTTTCTTATTGTTGGAATTAAATATGTAAGGAAGGGGTTGAAAATAGAAACAAAAACATCAGTTATAATTAAACATTGAGAGGAAATGCTAAAGATATAAGGAGGCTAAACTTTAAATTTTATAGCTATTCTCATAGTTTCTGTTTATTTTTTTTTTTAACTTCAGCTTTCATCATGAACTTTTTAGAGAATATATATTCACTATTGGATGTCCACAGACCAAACATTGATTAGCCAATATGCCATATTTTGCAGGGATTTTTATTTTTTTCTAATACTTATTTTAACTCATCCTTACTACCTGGCTGTACAAATTCAGCATCTGATGTTTGACCTCTTACCCATAATACCAGTGCATTTAATGCAGTATAATATTTGAATATCTTTAAGTGTGCCTTATAGACACATGTTTTTTTTAGCGTTGATCTGATGGAGCTGTTTATTTTTATTGAGGAAGATTTTTCTTTTAAAGTTATTATGATGATATTTTATAGAAATAATTCTATTGGAATGAAAGTAACTCTGAAAAATATGCAGGTATCGGTATTTGATTTACAGACAAGAAGTGTGATTGATTTTCATATTTATTTGATTTACCTTTAAAATCATCACCATCATTAATGAAATTTTGATAACATTTTATCTTGTGTTACCTTTTTATTATGTTTTTTGATAAAAAAATTTCATTGTTAAACAAGAAAAAAGATTTTACATCGTAATCAAGACTCTTTTATCACAGCAACTCTGATTCTTCTAATTTTGTAGCATTATTAAAAAATTAATTAGCTTCTATTGACTCTCCTGTAGATCGGTGTGAAAATTCTTTGTTATCTTTTGTACAATCTTGTAAGATTAAAGTTTCTCATCTCTTTATTGTTTTTGCAGTCACTCAGAGGTAATCTGTCGTTTACAAAACTTAAATTGCTTAGTGAGAAAACTGGATACATGTGAACCTATAGAACGGAACATGAATGAGTGTTGAAACACTTGTCTTCTTGATCATGAGAAGAAACTTGTGGTTATGTATGAGTGAGCCTTTAAAATTTTCTGTATGGAATCTGTTCTCTGTGTTTATCTGACCTCAAATAGCATTCTTCATTACCAATTGCTGGATCCTTGACAAACTGTCATTGCTCAACTAACTTGTTTGAATGAAGCATTGCAAGAGGAAAGATGTTTTTATTCTCTATGAAGTTGACCCGTGATATTGCTTGTCTCCATGGGATGGGAAGTTCTTCAATATATGGTATATTCACTAGACATTTTTCAGGCCATTCACTTGTTTTGAGCCATGAAATGCTGCTTGTCTGGTCAATCAATCAACCCAAAATCAGAATCATTATTTTAAGATTGAATACATAATTTAAAATGTAGCATAAGGTTATATAAAGCCAAGCAGAATACTTTGGATGCTTAAATTTTATGAATTTATACAAATAAAGTAGTTTATCAAAAAATACTGTAAACTAATGTATCATCAACTTAAAAGTTGTGTGAGCAATAATCTGTCATGCCTTTGCTTAGGTTGATGCTTCTAAAACTTTCTTAGGTGAAGATTTACATACAGATACATTTTATGTCTTAATCATTTTTATTTTTTTTTATTCCAATTTGTGTTCACGTAGAAACAACAAAAAAAAAAAAAAACTTGAATTACTTTGAAGGTAATTCAAAGTACCGATATTTATTATCTCCCTTTGTTTTACCGATTTCTCCTTACATTTTATATTTAGCGTTTTTATTTATTTTTTAATGTGAAATATTTTTAGAACATTTTTAAAGAACAAAGAAAAAGAAATGATTTCATTAATTGTTCACATTTTACTCCTCAAAGATTTCTATTCTTCTACTCTTGATATAGATATCAAACTTTATATAGTAATTGTTTCAATTAACTTAGGTACCTCCATGAGAATCAATAAAAAGTGCATAGCATGACAAGAACGGCCTTAAATTTGATGAAAAAATTTTTTATCTGCTTAAGTATATATATCATTATTAAGAAAAAATACCAAAGTATTTTTTGATTATTTTTTTAAATTTTTTACTCATTCTTAGCATGTCCAAAATTTTAGTTATAAATCTTGTTTTTTTTTGTCAGTGAAATTACTAAAAAAAAACTCGATATCAGCCATTTTTTTTAAATTTTGTAAACTAAGTTAAAATCCTAGTTTAAAATTCTTCCAAAAATCAATTATACGTTCTTCAAAATTTATTTGATGGAAATTAGCAAATTTAAAGATTATTTAATATATTTTGAAAAAAACTTTTGCTTACTTTCTTCGAAGAAAAATATTGTTTAAAATAAAAAGGAGGCGATCTTAACATCATTAGCTATTGACAAGTGATAAATGATTGCTGTCATCACATATCGACAGCTAATTCGAGTTATCATACGGAAGGATATAATTGATGTAACGTTTTTTTTTACATGAACCAGCTTATGTAGTACCTCGTAATTATTAAAGTAAAAAAAAAAAAACCTTTCAGCATTCCAGTTTCTTTTATTTTGTTTTTTTTTTTATTACTGTAGCTTACACCATAAGTTTGTTGATACTATCTGTAGAAATTATAAATACTATAAATAAATTAAAATACAAGTGCTGTACAGCTTTTTGAGGGCAACTATAGCCCCTTAAAATCAATACAGATCTGCTATGATAAAACATTTCTATCCCAAGTAAAAATCATCACAAACATATCAAAAGTTATTTTGTTACACTACAGTCAATTTGAAACTAGGTATTTCCTGAAAGCAAAAATGCTCTTTCATTTCTAAGTGAAATTGGTTGGTGTAAATGAGTATAAAATTTTTTTCTGGGGATAAAATATGAAAAAATAGTTAAAACTGCTATTCCTGAACACTGGCAACCAGGATTTTTTTTAATGTTTTTTTTATTTTTATTTTTATTTTTTTTTAAATCAGTGATAAGGAAAACAGTGTTGAAATTAAACCAAAATTGACTTTGACATTGCTGGGTTAAAGGCCAGCCAGCCATCACCTTGTAAAAAATCACCTTGTAAAAAATCACATTTTTTTTTTTTTTTTAATCTATGTTTGAACAATGGCTTGATGTATTTTTGTTTTTTAACACCCTTTGAGCAGGGTGATGACAACAACCCGAAAACAGTTTGTTTGAAATAAGAAATTCACATAAAATTGAAATAAAGACGACTAACTGAAAACTGTAAAACAACTTCAAAAAATTGAAATTGCGATGAAATATGTAAATGAAATAAATGGTACTTTTAAAAATGTAGTAATGTTGATGGTGAAAATGGCTTAGGATGATGTTCAAATTTTTTTAATGAGTAAAAAACACTAATTCAAAATGCTCAGCATGTGTTTCACATGAAGAATTTGCAATAATGTAATCGATGTTTAGCGGAGAACGCTTACACTCAAGCCATGTGACATTTTATTGCTTGTGACCTTCTGTACTTTTTAATTACAGCCATTTTAACGATTTTTATGAACACAATTACATTTCTTAATTACTGCGGATCTTCTGATTGGTCAAAATGATACAATTTACAAAGTGCTAAAAAAAAATGATCTATCTCATAAGGACACTTAGGAAACTAATTTTATAATATTTTAACAACTTAATGTAAAAATCTATTATAATTAAAGAAATAAATAATTGTATTAAAAATTCAATTTTCATTGAAAAATTTTTTGCTTTCAGAAAATATTGTCCATATTCATATGAACAAATAAAAGCATTTGAAATTAAATAATATCTTTGTTCTATTGAGTTTTGTATGTTACAATTCAGAACTGATTTTCAGGTATGTAGGGTCCAATTAAAAAAAAAAAAACATGATTTGCATTCTTCAAAGCCTTGTGCTTTTAACTATTGTAATCACTAAACCTGATGCGATCGAATTTCTAGCATTTTCATAAAATTAGTCGGGGGGGGGGTAATAAATATATAAAAAAAAAACATATAATAATTTCGATCACCTGTGAATAGTTTCTGAAAGTTTCATTAACATCCGACAATTACTTTTATTTTTGCAAGATTTTCCAAATTAATGTGTGTAATACAAAAAAAAACGTGCTAAAAATTGTATCTGTTATTTACTAGTTCTGCTTGGTACAAAGAGAAACAAGGTTTTTTTAATCAAAATTTAGAATGTTCTTAAAAGAAGGAAAAATTTAAAAAAATAATTTAAAAAAAACTTTGGTCTTTTCTCTTCATAATAGCATAAGCATTTATACGATAAAATTTTGTTTTCGTAAAGTTTGGCATCTTTTTCATCAGACTATGCTCTTTTCTTTTAGCGATTTTGTAGAGGTACCTAAATTAACTCTTACATACTTCAAAGATTTCTTTTTTTTATGATGTTGAAGGGAATAACTGTTTCTTTCATGAAAGATTGTTCAAAGCATTTATTCATTTCTACTATAAATAAATTCTTAATCTTTTTTTTTTTTTTTTTTTAATCAAAAGCCTTTTCTACAATGTAAAAGGATCTTCTGTTTTATTGTTATTTATAATTTATTTTCTTAGCAATTGCTGAGTCTCCAATGCATCATCTGACAATCATTTTTACTGCCTTAATTTCCAAATATCAAAACTTCATTCTAAAGAGAAATTCTGGCATATGTTTGACTGTAACAAAATTGTAAAAGCATATTTAATTAACTTTTTTAGGCTTTTGTCAGTAAATATTTAAATAATTTCTTAACATTACAAAACTTAAATATCACATGAAAAAAATGGAGACATGTTCTCAAAATTAAAAAAAAAGATAAAATTCTCAGTTTCACCTTGAATTTTAGCATTATTTTGGATTTTATTTGTTTCTTTGAGATGTCAAAAACCTTAAAGGGAATTAAAAAGATATCTTGGAGAGTTTGGTAAAATTTGAACATTAAACAATGGCATAAAAACTACATTGTATGTATACACACACACACACACAACTCATGCTGGCACTGCCACCTCTGCTCTCAATTGGTATTTAACTCCAATTTCTTGTTGTAGTGATATATTTTCTTTATCACTGCAGCTGCCGTAACACATGGAAGGAATTAAAGCTGTAAGTCTTTCCAAACCAAACTTACTTTCATATTGTGCTTTTTCATTATTGTTTAATTCTATTTTCTCATTTTGTTTCTATTTGTTTTGATGATATTCTTCATTTTTTCTTTTGTCATTGTGTATAATTTCTGTGGTGTGTTTTACTTATTTTTGTTGTTTCCTTATTTTTGTAGTTTCATCTTTTTGTTGTTTTTTTTTTTTTTAATTTTTTACTTTTTCTGTTTCTGTTTTTTGTTTTTTGACTGCAGTTTACTGTTCTGCCAGAGAAATGCTCAGGAGAGCTGTATCTCTACACATTTTTATGGCTTCATAGTTGGAGAAGTTTTCAATTTGAATACTGTACATAATCACTTATGATGGAGTTATGATCTACAGGAGTTTCTCAGGTCTATGTTCCTGCTGCAGCGTGTCAAATTATACAGGGAGTTTATTTCTTCATATAGTAATTCATGTAACAGTATTTATTTTCAATTAAGATCTACTTTTTTGAATTCTTTCAGTAATGCCTTTCTTAAGTTTCATATTTAATTTATGGATATTTAGGACATTTAAATGTTTTAAAATGATTAGTTAAATATTGATCTGGACACATACAAATTTAATGTGTCTGAGTTAGTGAATGTCATTATTTATGTAAATGATAAGCTGAGTCATTTGGCCAATTTGGTTCCTGGTTCTGAACCTCATGCAAGTGCAATGTCATTTTACTATTTAAGCTTAAAACCAATCATCTTAAAGTTATAATATTCTAAATTCTCTACATAATAACTACAATTTATTCCCTTTACTAATCTGTATTGCTTAAACATAGCAAAAATGCATCTTTTTTTTTTTTTTGCTTCCATAAGATTAACATGATATTATTTATGGAAAAAAATTGATAAAAAAGAAAAACATTATTTGGATTTGTACTTAAAATGTTTGATTTCATCTCTTGATACTCAATTTACTTTTAGTAATTCATTTCTATTTGTTCCAAAAAATTATGACAAAAAAGCTTGATGATAATAAGAAAATAGACTGATTCCAATATTAACACTTTCACTGCTTCATTTTTATCGCATTGCTGTCTGGTTGTGTTTACTTGTTTTGTGGTAACTAGGAAATTACTATAAAGACAGTGAGGGAGATTTCACATGGGCACTGCCAGTTTGATTTCAATCAGATACTCTGCAGTAGAGACAAAGCCAAACCATACCCTCAATATGCAATATTATAAAAATATGCTATAAAATAGGTTGTATCATATACTCTGGCTACATAGATTTGAAAATGGCATGAAAAACTAGTTAATTTATAACACATATGCTAAGATCCGGCATTTCAAAATGACTTGAATATGTATATATACATTGATTGCAAGTTGTGTAAATTTTGTAAATGCACATATGTATGTCCAAAGCTGCAGAATTATTAAAAGAAAAAAAAATATGTGAATGAAAAAATAAAAAAAAATTTTGAAAATAAGGAAAATTTGGCTATCAGAAGATACTCTTCTTTGAGATTATATATATTTGTTAATGCTAAAAATCAGTGATGTTTACCTTTTGGCAGTTACTATTTATATTCTCATCTTTAATAATTTCAATCGTTGAACATATTTTGATTTAGTTCAGTGGCTTAAAATTACCATATTTTCCTGGTGTCAATGATGGTCCCAATTTTGACTTGTAGAATTTTGGTAAAAAGACAATAAACATAAAATTAAGTGAAATAAAAAAGAAAAGAAACATAACCTCTTGCTTGTATTATGCAAGATAACGTTTTGAGTTTTATTTGATGTGAGATGAATAGCATTTTCAATACTGAGAAATATTATAAATAACTATACAGAGTTATGAAATTTTAATTTATTCATATTATTGTCATTATCTATATTGAATCAGGAGGAATTAAAATCTAATAAAATTGCTTTGTATTGAATGCATAGGAATATAATAAATAGTAATACAGAAAAACGTGGTAACTGTGGAAAAAGTTGAAAGAAATAATAAGCATGATCTGATGCTTGGCAGGTAGGTGGTCAAGGCGATGTTCTACATACAAGAACAAATTGGCAGCTTGATGCAAGCTGTCATCAGGAACCTACCTGTCAAACGCTGGTTTTTCAGAGCAGATGGTGTCAGCTGAAGTATGGGTGTGCCATGGAGTGGCAACCCATGGATCACCTCAAACAATTTGCAGCCAAGACTTTAATGCTCAAAGATCCTTGTTGAGCACAGAAATTGATCTGGTCAGTTGGGAGATGGAAGCTTCAGAAAGAACCAACTGGAGGAGAAGAGCAGTCCATGAAAATACAGCAGAAGACAAATAGAAGAGAGGAAAAAAGCCCAAAGAAAAGTCAGAATTCACTGTATCCTGAACCCTCATACCCTACCATATGATGCCTGCAGATGTCTCTTTAGATCCAACATAGGACTCATTTTACACAGAAGGAAATGTCAATGAACACCCCCAACATAAAATAATATTTTTTAAAACAAGTAAACAAAAATTCAGTTAGGGTAGAAGCTAGTCAAAGAATGCATATCAGATGCAAATGGAATGCAGATTTGTTAGCGCATATGAAGGAATTGGGATTGAAGACTTTTTGGCCCACCCAAGAAGTGTTTCCGAACTAAATTTTGACATTTGGTTATTTGGTTAAATTTTTGGTAAGTTGGTGAGACTGATAAATTTTTTCAGTACCCCTGTCCTCACCTCATGTAGACAATGACATAAAAATCAAAAATAAGTAACTCACAGTCCCCAAACCTTGATTAAACTTCTCTAATAGAAATTTACTTACGCCAGTACAGAGTTACAAAAACAGAGCATCCCATGAGGATTAAACTTGCTACACTGATAAAATGGTCAAGTAAGACTGACTTATTAACCATTGTCTCAGACTTGAATAAATACTAAACATATCTGATATGGACGTATTTATTAAAATTCATCTTCACTGTTTTTTATAACAGAATCTATTTATAAATGACTTGGGTGGTTTTTGTTTAAGATTTTTGTAACCATTAAGAATAGCTTTCAAAAATTCAAATCTAGAGTGACATCTTAGATATTGTCATGCCAGTTCTCTCCCATCTTACCATCTGAAAGGAAATAGTATTCCATTTAATTGTGTGTGTGTGTGTGTGTAAATATAAACACATTTTTTATCTATTTTATTCTAATGCTTGAGTTTACTGTGATATAAAGTGATTTAGCTTATTAAGATCAATGTCAAGCATTCATACTGTATTTTAGAATATCTCTTTATTATACATTAATATTACTGAAAAATTACAAATAATAACAAGGCTTTACCTAAGAAATAGTGTGAGTGTAAATTAATGATCAAAGTAACAGCATAGTCAGGGAAGACAGAAGTAGAACTAGATAGCTAATTTGAACAGCATATGTTCATGAAAGTATATGTGGCCAAATTGGTAATGGTACTGTCATAGCCAGTCTATAAGGAATTCAAAGACATGTTTATTTAATACTTACAGAATAATGACCAGAGAATTGTGATAAAAAGCAACAGAAATATATTGAAAGACTAACCAAAACTTAATGATGACTGCTTCATCTAAGAAATTAATAGATGATTACTTAATTATACTCTGCATCTCATATTAGCCACTTTTAATTTTTCTTTTAGAAAAGTAATGAAGAGATTCATGGAAATATTTGTGCACTGTTAATGTTCACAATATTTCATCTATGTATACAAAGTTATAAATACACTATCACTGGCAAAAGAAGGCCTAGTGATTGGTCTCACTTGATTTAGGACCCAGCATCTTGTGCATTTTGACACTTCCTTGCTGCCATAACAGTTCATAGCTTAACTTCCCTTGGTGCAAGACACATAGGTAGGAAAAGTCTTCACTTTTTGACCTGCTTTGGTGTTGTCTAGGATCATCAATGGGCAATATACAGGGCGGTCCAAAAGTTGTCATCCCTTACGTCTGTTCCAAACTGTAGGAGCTTGTGTCAGCCATCTGAAATAGAAAATTATATTATGTAGGGATGACAAGACTTTCAGACCACCTTCTAGATTCTTTTAATACAAATCTCTACACTTATCACTTCTTTGTAGGCCATTGTAACTTTGTTTATTTTCTTCTGTTTAGACATTAGTACTGGTTTTCATTTATCTTTTTTGTATGTAAATTTTATTTCATTCAGCTGATTTCATACAGTTCTGACATAAATATTAAATCATGTTTCCACTTTTCATTTGTTTTATGGTACTTTTTCTATTTTCAAGGCATAATACTTTTTTTTTTTTCTTGATATCATCCATAGACCTCCTATAATTTTCGTTTTCACAAATTTCCACTTTTGTTTGTATTTGTCTGAAATTTTAGACACACCTGACTGGGAACAACAAACATCTTTTGCCACATTTTGTATTTTATTTCCTTCTTGAAGGAAATATAATGCTTTACATTTTTTTCAATTTTCATCTCTCTTCTTGGAGCCACATTTCCTTTCAATTATCTAAGTGCAACAACTTGTTACATGCAAATGTGTTCTTTTAACTGCAGACTAATTTGTGTACTTAGATGTATGGTGATATTTGTTTCAGAAATGTAAATTCCAAGATGCTTTCTTAATTTTCTCATTTTACTTGATCTGTAATAATATACCATTAATTTAGATAATTTATTTAAAGCCAAAATGCTCAGTTATTAAACAAAATATTGTTTTTGTGTTATATTAGTGATATTTTTATTTGTTGCAAAGTAAAAAGCTGGGTGAATATGCTTTAAGTGTAGTGATTCTGTCACTTTCACTGCAATGGGTTTATATATATATATATATATATATATATATATATATATATATATATATATATATGTATATACATATAAAAGTTTAAATTTTAGTCAGAAGGTTTTACATTTATTAATTATAAATAAAATGACTGCTTATTTCTGTTCAGAGGTTCACAAATCTTGAATTCCTTTTATCAGGAGGAAAAAATATTTTCGATTTATTTTCACATACATTAGCATCTTTTAAGAAAAATGTATGAATGTCAAAATACATAATAATCATTTTATTTTTCTCTCTCTCACATATGTGCATGTGCACACACATATATAAAATATAATATCTTTAAAAAGACAAGAAAAAAAAAATATATAAAATAAAAATATCCGTAAAAATCCAAAAGGAATATATAAAAACACACAAATAAAGAGAAAGAACAGACAGATTAAGAATCCACTGTTCTCAACATTTACTTTTTTTTTTTTTTTAAAAAGTGCTCAGTACAATGTACAGCAAAATATTATATTTTTATTATAAAATATTTTACATCACTAAACAAAAATGTCATCTGTGGTGGTGGTCCTAAAAGCATCAATTTATCTAGACATGAATTAATAACCCACCTATCCATAATTTCTGACCTTATTTTCATTTTTTAATTTAGCTTTGTCTTTTGATTGGTTAATCAAGACATACACACAAATGTGTTTTTTAATTTTGAAATCTTTGTTTCCCTGCTCTTTTTTAACTCTTAAATGAGCTACAAAATTGTTTTCTGATTTCACAAGTAAATCATTTTCATCCAAGTTATCCAACATTGCCTGATGAGGAGCAATTTTTAAGTTCAGAAACATAGAAATTTTTGTTTAGTGATGTAAAATTTTTTAAGATAAAATATATATATATATATATATATATATATATATATACACACAGAAATTCCCAATAGAATAGAATCCAGGTAGAACTCAATGTCCAGAACAGAGAAAGAATATAATATAAAGGCTCAAACACTAATATTCCATGGTTATAATTTATTACATTGGAACCGTAATCATGTTCTAATTCATCATACCTACAAAATTTGTAGGTCTGATGAATTCGATCATGATTATGATTCCAATGTAATAAATTTAGCCTTTTATTTTATATTATATATATATATATATATATATATATATAAAATAAAAATATCTGTAAAAAGCCGAAATATATATATATATATATATGTATATATAAAATAAAATATCTGTAAAAAAAGCGAAATATATATATATATATATATATATATATATATATATATATATATATATGTAAAAAGACGAAATATATATAATAAAAGCACAAATAAAATATGAAAATTATTTTTAAATTTAAAAAAAAAAAAGAACATGCTGATGATGCTTTAATAAAAATGAAACATGTTAGATTGATATTTCCTACTTGTTCTTTTATTTTAACATCCTATTGGATTCCAATCCATATTTGATCTTTAACTCATATATGGAAGTGGGGTGAAAAATGTTTATCTCAACTAAAAATTCTTCCCCAAAAACCCATTGTGCTCTAAGTATGGTGTTACTGTTATTTTTGCCAAGGATTGCAGTTAAGAAAAAATTATGAAGGTTTGTGTACTTATCTTTATAATTTTTTTTTCAGTAATTTGTTTTTGTAAAAGTATTTTATGTAAGTTCCAATCCCAGAGAAAACATAAGAAAACAAATTTATTCATCAGAATGATTGTATTCTGTATTATTTCCATATAATCATGCTACATCTTCAAATTATCTAATTTTCTGATAAATACTTGATAATTATTTATTATAATTGGTTCACTGTATTAAAAGATGTTAAAACCTGTTCCCTCTATATCTTCATCTATAAAAGCAGCTGAAGAAGAGAGAGTAGCAGTTTATATTTTTGCAATGGTCATTAAAGTATCGCTCATGATTTTCTTATATACACACACACACACACACACACACACTACAATTCAAAAGTTTCAGGACAACCCTGGTAATTTTTTAAATTGGCTTCAAAAGCAGTTGTTTTGTATTTTAAATAAGAGAAAATTATTATATTAATCAAAAAGTGAGTCATGATATTTAATAGAAATTTTATTATGACAAACAGGAAAAAGCATTTTATGATTAAATTTTGCTCATATCAAAATATCCTCTGTTAGCCTTGATTACTGCAGTAAAAAATTTTGGCATTTGTTGCAAAGATTTCTCAAAGTATTAGTTTGATTCTTTTTTCAATGACTCTAACAGCTCTTTTTCATTGTCCTCCACCCACTTCTTCTATCAAGTTCATCCCATGCTAATTCTGTGAGTAGCTTCAAACTTTTGAACTGTAGTACACACACACACACACATATATATATATATATATATATATATATATATATATATATATATTCCTTGGGTTTTCAATTTATTATTTTGTCAAAAAATAAATTTGCTTAATTTCTGATCACCTGAATGAACATTTGTTTTTTTGACTGCCCAAACCATTTCATTGATAACATTTGTTTAATTTAACATAGAAAAACACTTTCATTCAGATGTGTGTTATTGAAAGAATTACTCTTCAGTTCTTTATTTTTTCTTTTCTTTCTTTTTCAGTGGGTTCAAGAAAACCAAAACTAAAAAAGACAAAGAAAAAGGTGTTTTATTAGGAACAGAAAAAACAAAGCATAAAAGTTGTAAGTCTCTTTCGTTGTCACTTATACGTACATTTGCAAAGAAACTTTGTTTTTTTACTCTAATCTGCTCTCATACCACTATTTCTGCACACTATAAAAAAAATGTTACAAGTATGATTTACTAAATAAGAGTCAAAACTTTCATTCGCTGTACAGATTGCATATATAGCAATGGAGGAGACTAAAATTATATGTTAGAATTAAATAGATACTAAACTTTCCTTAGTACATTTAACATATGAGCAGATATAGTCATTATATTCTGAATTTGAAAAATTTATCATGGAGTCCATAGCTATTTTAGTTTTAGATGCATGTCTGGAGGATGTACATAACTCTTCCTTATATCAAGAATTTATAATAGCTAATTCTTGGTGAGTGTGGGGTCTGGGGAAAATGTTGAATGAAAATCACTACAGTAACATCAGAATTTAACAGTAAAAATTGATCATTTATTTGGTAAATATTGCAAGTTTTTTTTTTTTTTGTCTAAAATTTTTTTAAGGATGTTTTATTATATAGCCTCATTGTTGTGTATTGTAATTAAGGAAGCAATACATCTTCAGTGGTTGAATTAATATAAGTGTTACTGACAGATTAAGATTATTATTTGGGAAAGAAATATGCTTTATATTGAGTTGGCCAAAATGTTCACTTTGTTTTTGTTATTAGATAATATTAGGAACATTTACTGGTGGAGTTATATAATAGACACTGCAACTTGAAATATTCCTTTTTGTTTTCATCTTATTATAGATTAAGTACTTTAGATTACGAATATTAAAAAAAGATATATTAAATTTTATAAAAGTTAATGGGTGGGTGGTTGGGTGAGTGAATTTGTCTAATTTGCTATGTAAATTCACTATAGATTGATCCCCCCTCCCCACTGCAGAAACCAAAACAGATACACTTGTGATTACTTAAAATGTAAAAAAAAGAAGAAAAAAAAAATCTTTGAAATTAATAATCTGGAGTTCTTAATCAATAATAATATATGAAGAAAGAGCTCTAGATTATGAATTTCAAAATTAAAAAAAAAATTTTTTTTTGTATTTCAAGAAATCATATCATAGCATATTTGTTTTTGTTAAGAGGGAGTAATTTACAATAAATTTACATAGTAAACTGATAAACTGACCTCCTATTAACTTTTATAATATTTAATAAAAAAAATGATTTTTGTTATTTGTGACCTGAAGTCCTTAATCTGTAGTAATATGGAAAAAAACAAAAATTATTATTTCTGCCTCTTGTACAACACCAACAATTTTGTGTCAAGCAACTTGATTAAAAAAACAATTTTGATTCTGTTGTGACAGAATCAGTCAATCAGTAGACATTAAAAAAACTGCCACTCCATACTTTCCATGACTGATTAAAAGGTTTAAAAAAAAAAGTTACTTTATTTAAATTGTCCTTAATGCAGCTTGCATTTGGAGTGATGTTTAAATGAGCTCTGTATCTGTTTACACTTGTGCAGTAAGGTCACCTCTGAGTGGTTGCCAAGTTAATCAAAACTGTGCAAGTGATTCTCAAGATATTCAACATGGTTGAATCTTTTTTGCACAAACCACATATTTACATTGCCATAAATAATTTCAATTGATGGTTAAAAAATGTCTTTATATTTTACAAGATTTTACCTCCTAAAAAGAAATTCCTACTTTAATTTTGTACAGGAACAGCATCAATATTTCTTACCACTTGACAAAAGTAGCAGAAGGGCTTATAAATAAACATGACTTATTTACAAATCACCCACACATAACATGATCTTTATTTTTTACTCACTGCACTTTATCAATTTTTTAAGTTTTTGATCTAATTTCACTTCCATTTAACCATAGCCTTGAAATTTATGACATTTGACAAACATAAACGTCAGCATTTATTAATTCAAGAGAAGGTTGAACTGTTTGAATATCTTTTAACCATTATGATAAAATACAATGTTGAAATAGTTGGTCTGTGATGCATATAAAATTTCTTAGAATTTCTACTCTCCACAAACTCATTCTTCTGTTTGAATTTGAATCCATTCTTTATTTTATACCTTACTGAATATAAGCTTGTATTGTGTAATAAATACTCTATTGCTTGGATTGTAGCTTTAGTGACAGGCCCAGGTGGTGGCAGTAGTGGCAACACAACTGGTGATGGCGGCAGTACAAGCAGTGTCAGCTCCACGCCAGCATCTTCCACAGTTGGAGGATCTACAACTTCTACAACAACTGAACCAAAACGAAAAAGGGCAAAGATTGATCCAACTGTAGAATCAGTAAGAGGCCATTTTCATTTTATTCTACAAACACTTCCTATCACTTTATCACTATATTTATTCAATAAATTAACAAAAGTTAAATTGACTTATCTGAGTGACCAACTTAAGTGTTTAGCATCAAAATACTCATTGGGGCCAGATGTTTGATAAATCTATTAGAATTATTAGATCTTGTATTTATATCCTTTGGAACAAATGCTAATCATTAATGTCAGATTTCAAATTTGAAATTAAGTTTCATAGAAATGTAACATTTAAATTTAGAACCATTTAAATTTTTAATTTTTTTTTATTTAATATTACCATTCTTACATGTACACATGATTATTTTTTTTTTTCATTCAACTGAAATGATAAAGGCTAAGGTTTTTTTTTTTTTTTTTTTTTTTTGTTTTGTTTTAATACAGTGTTCAGTGTCTATTTAGACAGAGGCACAGTGTAAATAATACGTTTTGAATTTTATTAAGAATGCACCAAGCATGTGCATGGCTAAAAGTTTCACAATAATAACTGATCATCACACATAGGTGGCAGCTACTGGGGGCCACTCCTCTTACCATCCATATTTAGCGATCAGTTTATTAATGTTAGAACTTTTAGTTATGTACCTGCTCAATACATTTAGATATTTACTCTGTGTGTTTCTTTCTATCTATATCTATCTATCTATATATATATATATATATAAACATTATTATAATGTATTAAAATGTATACTCGTATTTGAAATAGATGCTTCATTTTTACTTTAAACAAATTATATCTATTGTATTATATCTATTGACTATCGGCCTGCACACTTGATTTCATAGGACTATTTGGGGAATTGTTATACATCAGATCATTAAAGTGATAAATATGTATGCCATTGCTGGAGCTCATTATTCAGAATACCTTTCAGTAATGTAGACACATGTGACTGAATGTCAGGGAATTCAGCAAAGCTTTGTTCTTTCAGAGTATTTTTCAATTTTGGAAATAATCAAAAATCACAGTGTTGGGGTTGTCTAAGTCTGGTGAATAATGTGGGTGGCCCAATTTTGCAATGGATTTCTTAATCAGGAACTCATAAACTCCTAATGCATCATGTGCAGAAGAATTGTCAGATCAGATTTTTAGTCTTTTTGTCCTGATAGATTTTTGTCACCTTTTCAGCATTTCCAAGTAAATTTGTGCTTGTGCTAAGAACTTGTACTAAACTGTCCCTTTATGATCAAAGAAAAACCCAAGCATGGTCTTGAATTATGAGCAAGATATGTGTTCTTTCTTTTCACTGTATGCTCTGGTGTTGTGTTTCTAGATGATATTGAAAACACCATGTTTCATTATAGGTAATGACCCTCTCAGAAATCTGTTATATTCACAAGATCAGATGACATATAAAGGCTAATGTTGTTTCTGCATGTCAGTCAAGATTGGAGACACCATCTTGAAGAACTTTTTCCAGCACTGTTTCCTTATTCATATTCAATTCTTCTGCTGATGTGATACTATTAAGAAGGTGCTGGTAAATTGGGAAAAAAAATGGCTTTAAGGAATAAACTGGAAAACAAGAAAAGAAATGCTGTTTTTTGATAGAATGAAAGTCTACTGATAACAAAACAAGAAAAACACTATGTTTTCAGTAGACTGAAAATATACTGATAACAACACAAGAAAAATAAAAGGAAGGATATTTGTTTTCTTTTCTCTCCCCATCATGGAGTTGAGATGACAACAATGGCTAGCATAGAAGCCATCAGTTTTTGGTCAAATTAATACTAAGTGCTGGTATTTTCTTAAGTGTTCAATCGACCTCATGTGGAAGAATAGATTATATTTTAATGACCTCAAGTGTTGATGAGGGTATGAGATAAAGCATCAGTGGGCCACTTGTTGAACAAAAGTCGGTAATGAGAAGGCCATCCATAAAGGCTAACAGCAAGTCTCTAGCCAAAAATTTGGTCAGTTGATAAGACTTGGATTTTAAGACTGATATGTTTCCAAAGGAAAACAAATCGAATTGTAGTTATATTTCTTTTTTGTCTGCTTAAGATGTGATAAAATTTATTAAAACAAAGGAATTGTTTTTTTGTCCCTTGTTGACCAAAGAGCTGGTGAGGGGAAGTGACAGTTGACAAATCCCAGATGCAACCGACCCCACAAGGTCGCAATAAGAATTCCCTGCTGATGGAAAATTTGGATAATAATTGAATTTAGCAATTTGGGCTAGACCATGCCTAGAATCTGGGAACAGGTTTGATCAGGAGATAGAGGTGTATTGCCTGCATCCTTCAGGCAGTGAGAGGCACCCACGTGAAATGGAAGGAGTTGGGTGGATTGATATTTTGCCACGACTACTCTATGGGGGAGGGATCTCTCCAAATTTGGTCAGGCAATCAATTTTCCAACTACCTCATGCCCTGTGCCAATGTTTAAGAAGGCTCCAAATACAGTTTTGAGGTAGAAATAATGAAGAAGAAACCAAATAGTATTGAGGTGCTGTTTTCAAAGAACTGATCATTATTTTCATTTGGTTCAAGACCTGTTTTGCAAAACCCCATGCAGCTTCTGCAGAAAGAAAGACTCTGGCCTTGTTCCAGGCAACCAGATACAACTTTAATGGTAACCTATTAAGAAATACATAAGAAACAAAAATCAGATTTAATCAAAAGTACCCACACTCAAGCTATATAAAGAATAAACGTCACATTTCACCAATTGACCAGTTCTTTAAAATTCTTTCTGTTGTTAATTTAGTAATCCAGTGAAACATTCATTGTATGAACCTTTGATATGGAGTTGTTGTGTTACACAGCTGTCTCTTTGTTTCTTGTGGTGTCATCTCGCCAAAGCTACCAGATCAGTGATGTTGAATATACAACTCGGCTTTTGTCCACCTTGTGATCTTAAACAAACACAATGTGGGCAGGGTAGGATTAAGGAGTAGGGCAACCAATTCCAAGGCTGGCCATGAGGATTGACCACAAACTCTTTTCCATTCTTTTCTATCTTAAAACTTTATTAGTTTTCAGTGAATTGATACAATATTCACAGGTACATTATAAGTGTTGCTTTTTTTTGTCTCAATAAGTTCCCCTTTCCTATGAAGTTAATCAGTAAAGGATTTTTTAATTGCTGCCTTTTAATCAAAAATAATTGTTAAGCATAAATTTCACTTTTATCTTTTGAAGAGATTATCCATTTCTCTTGTATCTAATTTGTTGAATTGAGTTTTTAAAAAATTTATATTTTCAGATTCAATTTCACTTGATTATTTTGTTTCCGCAATTATCAGTACTTAATAGTAATTCCATTATTATGATTTCTTTAGTTTTCATTTCATAACAAATTTAAATAGAACTGTTCATAACTCTTGCATATAATTTGTTTTAATTGAAAAACTAAAACAAATCTCCCACAGGAAGAAACATTCCAGGCCAAAATTGAAGTTAGAGTTAAAGTTCCAGATGATCTCAAACTATGGTTGGTTGATGATTGGGATTTAGTTACCAAGCAGAAAAAGGTAAACTTGTTTGGTTTATTAAGTAAAAATACATTTTTTTATTTTTGACATTAACTTTATCAAACACCACATTAACATTTTGTTCCAATATCTTTTTCCAGAAGTTTTTTCAACAAAGAACTTCTCTGGCAGCTTTTTCCAAGGAACTGAATTTTTTTCTCTAAATTCTGTTAAATATTAATCTTAAATATTAATGGATATTATCAATATCCATTAAATGTGAAAAATCCGTTAAGCTGTAACCATTTTTGTCTGATCCCCAAAGAAACATGTGGCCTAACATTGTCTTGATGGAATATTACACACTTTCTCATGATTAATTCCAGACAGGTTTCATCAATTATTACTTTTAATTAGTCTAATTGGTAATGTGAAATAATCATTTGCTCCTTTTAGAAGGAAACACTGATCTTATCTAAAAAAGTTGATATTGGAGATATGAGAAGGTGGAAAGAGTTCTTTATCAATCTAATAAAGGACGCTTTTTCTAGCATCTCATATTTTCAACATCAGCTTCTTTAGCTAAGATTAAACTTTGGTACAGTTAGTGATGTTTAATTTTGTTTACTCTCTAATTTCTTGTGTTTCACATTGGGCTAAAATGTCTACATTGCGAGTCACAATTTGTTTAAAAAATGGAATGTTTTTTTATTATTTACACTATTTACAATGTTTGGACTCTTATCATCATCTTTGTTGCCATATTCACAATGTTTTGGCTGTTGTATGCTCCAGCATTCTTCAGGTGAATTTCAAAATGAACCCTTTATTTCGTCCACCTGGGTAGATTGTTCTAGTTCCACCCCAGTGGATGAAATAAAAAGGTTCAGTTTGAAATTTCAACCACCTGAAGAAGGCCATTATTTAATAGCCAAAATGTTGTTAATTATAAACAAAGATGAGGATTTCAGTCTGAACATTGTAAATTTAGTGTAAAATTTTTCAAGTGTACGAATATTTATTCCCCCACAGATATTTTGTTATATTCATATATAAATAATACAAATATAATTCAGTAGATTTGTTTTGCTTATTTGGAACCCACACTTCAAAGCAACCAACATAACCAAGTTAGTAATTGAATATTTTCCAATATTTTGATTATGTTGGCTATCTCCTGCATCATATTGATTATTCTTTAGTAATGTTAGGTACCTCCACGAGATCGCTAAAAAAAGAGCATAGCATGATGAAAAAGACGCCAAACTTGACGAAAACAAAATTTTATCTTCTAAATGTTTGTTATTATTAAGAGGAAAGGTCAAAGTATTTTGGGGGTATTTTTTTTCATTTTTTAATCGTTCCTCGCACGTCCAAAATTTTCGTTAAAAATCTAGTTTTTTTGAGTCAGCAAAATTGAGCATTTTTTTCCATTTTAAAAAAAACTGGAAATCTGACTTTGGAATTTTTTTAAATATCAATTATCATTTTTTCAAAACTTATTTTAAGAAAATCAGAAATTATAATGTTTATTTAAAATATTTTGAACCAAACTTAACTTAGCTTTTGTGCCAAAAAGATGTAATTTGAAAATAAAACAAAGCAGGTCATAAACTTTCGCGTCTCTTGACATGTGATGAATGATATATTTACGAATTCCATGAGGCTAATTTGTTCTACGGAAGGAGAAAAGTGAAATAATTTATATTTACGTGAACAAATTATTTACCCCGTTATTTTTAACGAAAACTTTCAGCGGTCTAATTTTTGTTTTTTGTACTTAGCTTTCACCTTTACGTTTATGATGCTTTATGGGAAATATATTGTAAAGAAATTAAAATAAAACTGTTAAGAGTGACATTAAATTTCATATTTCTTAAGAAAGGTATCTAATTAATTTATAGGTACCATTCTTATGAAATTTTATCAGAATTGTACATAAAATACTATAATTTTATGTACATTTATTACATTCTACAGTTATTTGTATTTGCATTCATTTTATTATTAATTTTGATATTTCATTTATGGAAAAATGTCGTAACTGAGATTAATATAAAAATAAGATCATATAAATTTCATAAGATGATACTGATACTTGTAGGTACCCTCTCAGTTGAAATTGAAAATCAAATTAACTTCTCCACACGTGTTTCGCAAAAGTAAAGGCCTTAACAGCGGAGAACAATGCTTAACTCAAATAACGCAACTTAATTATATTCTGGTTGGTCTTCCGTATTTTATAATTACAGCTCGATTATAAGCACAAAATTACATTTCTTAATTACTGGGGATCTTCTGATTAGTCAAAATGATACAATTTACAACGTGCTAAAAAAAAAAGATCTATCTCATAAGGACACTTATGAAAGCTGATGCGGCTTTTAACTAATTTTATAATATTTTAACAACTTAAATGTAAAATCTATTATAATTAATGAAATAAATAAATAATTAAAAATTCATTTTTCATCGAAAAAATTTTTTTGCTTTCAGAAAATATTGTCCATATTCATAAAAACAACTAAAAGCAAATAAAAGCATTTGAAATTAAATAATATCTTTGTTTTATTGAGTTTTGTATGTTACAATTCAGAGCTGATTTTCAGGTACTGCGTATCCAATTAAAAAGAAAAAAAAAACATGATTTGCATTCCTCAAAGCCCTGTGCTTTTAATTATTGTAATCACTAAAACCGATGCGATCGAATTTCTAGCGTTTTCATAAAATTAGTTATGGGAGGGTAATAAATATTTAAAAAAAAAAATTTCTACCATGACTTTCATAAAAAAAACATATTTATAATAATTTCGATCATCTGTGAATAGTTCCTGAAAGTTTCATTAACATCCGATAATTATTTCTATTTTTGCACGATTTTTCAAATTAATGTGTGTCATACCAAAAAAACGTGCTAAAAATTGTCTATGTTATTTACTAGTTCCGCTGATACAAATAGAAAAAAGGTTTTTTTAATCAAAATTTAGAATGTTCTAAAAAGAAGGAAAATTTTTTAAAAATAATTAAGAAAAAACTTTGTTCTTTCCTCTTAATAATAACATAAGCATTTAGACAATAAAATTTTGTTTTCGGCAAGGTTGGCGTCTTTTTCATCAAGCTATGCTCCTTTTTTAGCGATTTCGTGGAGGTACCTAAGTAATGTCCTCATTTGACCGTTTTCACTATCAGCTCATCTGCACGATCATGGAGTGTCATGCAGCAAGTAATCTTCTGTATAAAATTACACAAAACACTTTTAATTTGTTTGTGTCTTTAAAGTACCTTCTTCATAAACAGCACAAATCTTTTTGTTTTATATCCAAATTGTATTTTTACTTTTTTTTTTTAATTTTATTTTTATAATTATAAAAATATATAATATGCTAAAATATTTTTTCATCTTAAATATTTGAATCAACAAAAACATGCAAAATTTGAACAAATTAAAAAAAAAATCACCCTGATATGACAGCTGTCAGAATATAATCAAAAGCAATCTATTTGAATGAAATTAAAACTAAACACTTTTTAATGCTATTTAACAGCAAAAACAGAAAAGAAAAACATTTTTAACAACCCAATGTGTAAATGTGTTTATTTTGTGTATGGAATTTTAATTTCATAGTTAAATTCTTATAATTTTGATGTTTTTTTTTTCTCTAAATGTTTACTTTTAATGTTTTTATTGTTGACTTGTTTTTGTAGTTATTGAGGTTACCTTCAAAGAAAAACATTGAGAGCATTTTAGATGATTATATAAAATTCAAAACTACCAAATCGAATAATAACAAGTAAGTATTCTATATAAGTTTGCCATTTCTGCATGGAAAGGATTTTAAAATGAATTATTCCAACCAAAAAAAAAATGAAAATAAATACATGCCTTTCTGTGGAAAGGCAAGCATGGAAATGCCTTTCTTTGAAAAGGTGAGCTCAGAAATGTCTTTCAGTATTTATGAAGAGATTGTAAAAATTATCATGTTAATGTATTTTTTGTTTCTTAACATTAAATCTTTTGAAATAATAATCAGTCATGTGTGACTGATAATAAATTTAATTATTCTGTTAAACTGTTTTATTTATTTTCCAATATCTCCTTAAATTTGAATTAAATTCAATATTAGATGGATGTCTGTTGCTGCATATGCCATACAGATATACATGTACCAAATGTATGGCTTTGCTATGATTTCAGAGAAATAGTTATTTTCATTATAAATATGGACATTTGATATTAAGTACTTCTTTTTCCTAAGGAAAATGAGATTAAATCTTTCTGTCTACTAAAATGCACATTGATGTATATTATGATTGAATCTGTGGTGAAATATTATATTTGCTTCCTAAAGTGTTCTATTGCTCTAGGTTCCCCTTCCTGCTTTCTGTTTTCACAGGGATGCTGTCAAATTGGTCATTCAAGGCCTTAGGGAATACTTCAATATGACAATTGGCACTCAATTGTTATACAAATTTGAACGTCCACAATACACAGAGGTAAGTTCATTTACTTTTATGTTTTAGCTTCTGAATTAAACCACTGGGATTGTTTATAAAAGAATTGTTTTGATTCTCTTTTACTTGATTTGAATATAAATAAAATGATGAAGTAAATTACTTGTTAGTGTTTAGCTGTTGAATTTCACAAATATCACATCTAATAATAGCAAATATAGCAAATTCATTGCTGCAAATTAAAAATGAGCCTTTTGGCAAGATTTCATAATGAACAGCCAATATTTGAAAGTAAAAAAAGATTATAGAAACTGGAAACCTTTTTATATCTACTTGAATAATATTTGCATTTAATAATTGAATGTCTATTTGCTATATTTTCTAGAGACATGAATATAGAAAATAGTCCAAAATCTTTTTCCATGTAGAAAAATCATCTGCCAAAAATTTATAAACATTTAATAAGTAATTATGAGTTCAATCCTTGGGCTGGGCAGTACGTAGGTTGAACTCTGTGGAAACAGGGTGAACAGTAACTGAGCACTATTAAAAATAAGAACTAGACAAGATATCTCTAGACATGGGCAGTGTAATGAGAATAGTCTAGATTAAATCAAGGGTTCCGTTTGGAATTCCTTGTAGGTTACTTAGCTTGACATACACCTGATGAAAGCTGGACAACACAATGGCCAAAAGGTTTTAACAACAACAAAGATGAGGAAAATAGTCTACATGTAAATATTGTAAATAATCTAATAAACATTTTAATATTTTTCTCCAAAAATACATCAAGAGTCATCAAAGTTTAATGAGAAATATATTACTCTCCAGCAAAACATTTTAAGCATTTTGAAATTAACATAGTTGTTCAATTTACTATATTATCCAACAACAACAAATGTTTATTTAGGCTAGCTAAAGTCTTGTTTAAACAAGAAAATAACTACAAATTCTTTCTTTTTTTGTTTTATTTACCAAGCAGTAGCATAGAAATATAAATATCAGTTGAAATTGCTTTAAAGAAGAACTTGAAATATTTAATTATTTTTTTGTTTTTCTTTGAATAAATGAACATAAAAGTTTGATTTTTCAGTGTAAACTTTTTGATATTTACATCAAATGTAAAGTAACCTGTTTATTTTATTCTTAGTATATAGATTGTCAAAGTGATTATTAAACCTGTTACTTTTTAACTGATTTTTCAATTTCTCTTCATGTTAAAGTTTGAGGCCAGTTTTATTTCAGTGTTTCCTCACATTCAACTTTGTTATATTCACATTTGTTTTTGTTTTTTGTAATGCTTCTGTAAAAATTTTAAAAAATATCTTATTTTTAGGTTAATTTGATTTTCAGGCTATTATTGGAAGCACATTTTATTTTGTGACCTTGAAGATGATTTACATAATTTCAAGAAGTCTCTCATAACAGTGACTGTCATTTACCTGAAAATTGGCTTCATCAAAAGCTTTAAATCGAATTTTCACTTTATCGGAAAATCAAGTTAGAAAACTAAAGGGAGATAACTTTATATATAAATAGTGTTTTTTAAATTATGTATGATGTTAAAATTGGACTCAATAATTCAATAATAAATACCCTTTCCTTCATAAATTTATCTAAAATTTTCATTCACATAATAATAATGTTGCTTAATATTTTGGTTTTATTGTAGAAATATTTAAAAACGACTATATAATGATAAAAAACAATCATATTTGTCCTATCCAAAATACATGTGTACATAAATAGTTCAAAAGGTTTTCTGTATCTTTTTATTTATTTTAATATTTGTATTTTAATCGTTTTTTATTTTATTTTTGTTGTCTAATAAAAAGACAGTCAATTTTGTGGTTTTTAACTGATTTCAACATTAAATAATCAAATAATCCTCTTAAACAAACTTACTACAATCATTCATTATTGTAAACAACAATCAAATAAATGGGTGTAATTTTTAAGAAAAGTACCACCCATATATAAAAGTTATCTCCCTTTGATTTTTTTTTTTGTGTGTGTGTGAAGTGAATGACTCCACAAAGTGAAGATGTGATATAATGCTCTTTCAATGAATCCAGTTTTCAGACAATGGCATATGCTGTTATGAACCAGACCAATAATTTCAGTAGTGTTATTTGAAGAGCTGTTCTTTTAAAATATCTCATACTGTTTATTATCACTAACTCACCCCCCTCAAGTCCTGCAGACTCCCTGAGGAGTATGGAGGGGGGCTACTCAGCATTCTAGACGTTGCTGCTATGTTTTCATAGCAAGTAGTAGGTTCTTACAGGATGGGGTTGCTAGTCTTTATGCCAAACCGATTTTGAATTGAGAGTTATCCTTATCCTCGACTGCTTACCGACTGCAGATAAAGAGTCCAGTCTGCCCTACTATTAAACCCATAGTTGCAAGGAGAAAACAAGGATTCATACCTTTCACAGGCATATTTACGTGTTCAAACTAATGCAATAAACTCAACTGGAGTTCAAACTCCATTTTCCGATTTCTCATTTCAAGTCACTATACATTACACAACCTGCACATCCCTGTTAATTATTATTAATTATTATATAAATTCAGGAAGCTATTAGTAGTAGTAATCATTTTTTTTCTTCACCTTCACCTTTGTTGATTCTTTGATATTTAAATATTTTGTTGTTTATTCAAAGATACTGGAGAAAATTTATCACAGGAAAATTATTTTATGAAATAGTCATTTTATTAGTGATTGGTGTTTCATAGTAGATTAGATTGCTGTTAAAAAGGAAAAAAAGAAATTTTTTTTAAAAATATTGTTTACCATGAAGTCCTATAAAATTAAAGAAATTATTAATCTGTAAAGTAGGGTTTTTGTCAAAGTATTTTTCCAAACAAATCCACTTATTCAAATTTCATTGATTGGTTTGTGAAATTGAATGAAATGTAGAGTTTGTAAATTTCAACAAAAAATGCTAGCGATAACTTTAACAATACTAAATATTGTGAGGATTTCAACACACATCAGCATGTTGCAAAACAATTCTAGTAAAAAAAAAAAAAAAACAACAGCAAATCAACAAACTATTAAAGTAAGTCTGTTGTCTTCATATTTTTTGTTGCTATCACATTGTTTCAGCTGTTGTGCTCTTTGGTTTTCATCTGGTGTATGTCAATCTAGGTAGCCTACATGGAGTCCTGAACTAAACTCTTTATTTAATCTATGGGATTAGATTGTTTTTGTTCTGCTGCTCATGTCAAATGGATATCTAGTCTAGTTCTTATTTTTCAGGACTGCTCAGTTATTGGCAGTGGAACGAAAACAATCTACCATCATAGATTAAATAATGGGTTCAGTTCAGAATTTCTTGTAGGTTACCACAAAATTTGGATTAGTATAATCTTATTAATCTCAAATTTGATGATTTCACAAATCCAAGTTATTGAATCCTTGGATAAGTTCTTTTGCGTATCATTTTCTTATTAAAGCTTCTTATTTTAAAAAATGTTTTTTTTTTCATATAAAATATTTTTCACTTTTATTTTGTAGCTTCTTGAGGAAAATCCAGATTCACCGCTGTCATCTATTTATGGAGCTGCCCACCTTTTGCGGTTATTTGGTAAGCTGTATAATCCTAATATTAGTCTTTTATGTACCAAAATTATCTTTGTATTTATCTGGGATTTTTCTGTTATATTTACTAATAAGGAAGAATGAAGTTAGACTTTTGAATAAATTCCTATGATGTTGTTTTAGTTATTTCTGTAATTTGGCTAGTATTTGTTTGAATTTTAGTGCATGATGTAAATAAGGTGGGGGTGTTTGCAAGTTTTGCATTTGAAACTAAGGAAATGTTTAAGTTATGCATTGAATACTATTACAAATTTTAATTATTTATAATTTCATAAGATTTCTTTCATGTAAGTTGTTTATTCATGGAATATGATTCATTTTTAACTGTATATCTGTTAGATTGGAAAAACTCAAAAGCTCTTGTTAAATTTTATGAGATTTGTGATGTTTATAAAGTCAGATTTGGGAATATCTTTTAACAAGTGGGTGCTGTAAAGTTCTCGATACTGCTTACTTCAGATTTTAAAAATCATTTTTTTGTTGGGCTGAGAACTCTTCAGCATGCCACACTCCTAAATATTAACTTTTGTTTAGTTAAAAAAAAAAACTTTTGAAGAATAAGTCATTTGTTTTGAAATAATCATGAACTTTTTCAAATAAACAACAGAGAAATTTTGTCTAATTATAAAGTACATGATTAAGGCAAATGAGATTAAAAAGTATTAATGTTGAAGATCATAAGATTTATTCTTCCAAATCTGAATGAGAAATTCAAAAGCATGTGGATTTCACAAATGTTCAATATGCGCACCGCCTGAGACACAGCATTTTTATACCTGTAAAGAAAAAGATTAAAGAACATAAAAATACAAATAAGAAAAACACAAAAACATAAAGACAACATTAAACATAAAGATGCTATTAAAATTTGAAGTCATTTGAAGGAGATCTAACAAAGTTATTAGATTGCGAAGTGATATCAAATTTTTTGAAACACCCTGTATAACTATAAGGTGTTTATTTTTCTCTCTTAACAAAATAGAGTGTATTGACTTTTTTGTTGTTTTTTTTTATTATAATAATTTTTATTTCCTTTTCCAGTGAAAATTGGTGGGATGCTTGCATACACATCACTTGATGAAAAAAGTATTCAACTGTTGCTTACACATTTTCATGATTTCCTTAGGTGAGTTTTTTATATTTCATTTGAACTTTGTTACTGCCTAGGAATCCCTTGGATTTGGTTCATTTATTAAAGTGTTAATTAAGTAATTTGCACCCTCTATGATTTATTAGAAATGAAAACTTTCCTTGTTTTTCCTTATGTGTTTTCCAAATAATCATTTATTTTTCTACTAGATTTGACTTTTCATTTAAAATCATTTTTAAAAATATAACTTTATTCATTTTTATGTCTGGCTGGTATAATGGATAGAGACTTAGAATAAGAAATCAAAGAGTTGAGTTGGAATTCCAGTTGAATTCATTACATTCACTTGTGCACAATTACTCTTGAGAGAGGTATAAATTCATCTCTTCTCTCGCCACTGACCTCTGAGTTATAAGCTAAGTAGCAGGGGAGACTGATTTCTAGCCATTGTTGGCAATCAGTCTAAGTGAAGAACAATTCAGAACCATATGTGATCATGAGACCAAATCACTGGTTGCCCTTTGACAAAGCATAGCACTTAATAGTTGATCAAAGACCCAGAACACTCAGGATGTCTTAATATTTACTAAGGCCAAATGGAAGTTAGAACATTGTATTGTATTCTTGAAGGTTTGCTTGCTTTAAAAAGCAGTATTTGAAATCCTGTGCTTTCACCTGGGTTTGAGTACTGAAGGGAAAAGTGTAATTATCTCGATCATAAGGCAAGTTACATAATGTCTTAGATTTGATGAATACATTCAAATTAACAAAAACAAAATGGTAGAAGGAGTCAGAAGCAGACAATCTTGTTATTTTTCAGGGAACATTTTCTCAGTTTTTATCATATGTTTATTTTAGCTACAAGCTATTTCAGTGGACAGAATTGTGAATTATCGCAATCTTTACTTTTTCCTTTTGTTTACATTGAATGAAACCTATGACACAGGAGTAAATATATGTTTGTGCAAGTGGTAATGAACGGAATCCTTTCTTTTATACATACAGTAGTTTAAAGCAAAACATGATATTTTTCAAGTTGAATTGTTAATATATCTTTCAACAAACAAATGTTTTTGTGTTCATGGTGAAAAGCTGATGGATGAAGGAATCTTGTCTGACTTAATCTTATTGTAGAATTGAAGCTTAGAGTTAAATATAAATTGAAAGTCTGTTGTACTTCACAAACAAAAACATTAAAAAAAGTTAATCATATTTATTTGTGTATTAATTGTTGTCATATTTTCTAAATCACTTAAGCCAAGCCTTTACACTTCCTTTTTGTATCTGAAGTGCAAATGTTTTATAGCATCCTGTTTAGCTGGTTTTAAAGATTAACAAAATAAATATTTTTTTTAGAAAAGGGGAGTTCCAAATTAATAAAGAATAGATATTGTTTTTATTTCCAAACAATTCAAAAAAATTCAAAAACACAACATCCTATATATATTTCATAAGTAGTCATTTTATTTCTTTGTGGGACTTAAAAATTCAAAGATTAAAGTTAAAAACAAAATTGTTTACATTTCCTTCACTAATATCACTATCTCAGTTAATAATCACTTTGTTGTAAAGACCAACAAATGACTACAATAATAAAAACCTAATCTAATCTGAAATTCAAATACTTTCAATACAATTTGTTTCTCAAAATTTTAAGCAAAATAATTTTATATTCTCTTATCTGAATACTTTTTTTGAAATATTTTTGATTATAAATTGATGAATTTTATACTTTTCACTAATAATGTTTGTTCTATTTACAGATATTTACAAAAGAATGCATTGAGTTTACTCAGTGTTAATGACTACATGTCAGTTACTCCAGAATACCTTCGAAAAGTGGGTTGAAATGCTACACGCGTCCTGAGCTTTATTCATTTTTATCATTCTTCATCAAGCACACATGCATGCACACATAGACACACAAACATCTTAAAATAATTAAATAGCTGCTTTCAGTAACAGAGAGAATAAGTACAGCTGCTTTAGGAACAACCAATGTGCAATTTGTTACTATAAACAATACAGTTGACTTATGCTCTACTGTTTAAATCCTCTGAAAGATTATGGACCATCCTTTCATCAAATCTAGAGGTTTGGTTGGGTTCAGTTCTTGACATGATTTCTTCCCTCTTATTAAGACGGACGACAGAAAGCTGTTTTATCAAACCAGTGCTGTTGCAGTTTTTTAAATCGATATTTTTTTTTTAATTCTTCCATACATCTTTGAAGATTGTATGTATTATTAAAATGTATATTCTTAGGTAGTATTTTATTTTTTTTTAATTAATAATAAAATATGGAATTTTTGTATTTTTTGTCCTGATTCTTTATTTTTCAATCTGTTTGTTTCTGAAACTTAATGAAATAATGACGTACTGAGAAGACAAATGCATGAACATTTTGCTTAGAAATATTGTCTTCTCAGCCCAATTCACTTTAATGAATTCTTGGATGAAAGCATCCACAACAGAAATCAAATAGTTGTATACTGGAAGCATTTTCTACTGTAAAGAAAGATTTTGATAAAATGATAAATGATTTACAATGGAAATGTTTGAATTTGTTGGTTCCAATCTTAATAGGGAATGGTTATTTACCCCAACCTTTCCACTGAGACAAGATGTGACACAAGGTTGGGTTTAATGTGGAGAACTCGAGTGTGTACACTTGGGTTACGGAAAAAAATTACCCAGTCCCTGAAACAGTCAGTTGTGTTGGTATTGGCATGACTACCAATTCCCCCTCTCTAGTGCAATTATTGTGAGGGGGTGCAGCTTTGAGCAGCTGTTCCCCAAGACTAGCCACCTAACAGTTTTTATTTTCCTCAGCTGCATCTCTGTCTGCAGGCAGAACCACAACTGTTTCACACTTTGCCTGAAGTCAGATATGCAACTAAAAGATAATAATCCTCTTCGGCATGGGCCATGGAGTGCTTTATAGTGATTTACTTTTATGCATTTCCCTTTTATGCATTAATGCCATTCCTCTTTTGAGAACTTTTTACCTTATTACTATTACTTTGCCTACTTTTGACTTGCATACATTGTTTCTTTGATATTACTGTTACTCTATTCTTTCTTGTCATTGTTTATTGGAAACTTTCTCAATTTCTGCTTGTTGGTTATTTCTGACAATTATATTTAACCATGGCCAGTTACTCTACAGGAATTGATAAGAAAATTCATGGAGTAAATGAGAAACGTCAAGAATTAAAACTTAGATTAGTTATTAAAATCTTACAATTTTCTCCCAGGTAATAAAAAAAAACTTTTTTTTTTTTTTTTTTTTATGAATTTTCTACTAAACATTTGACTTTTTTTAAGGTAAAGGAAAAATTAAAAAAAAAAATCTCAAAATTGCTGAGTTGACTGACTAAAAGGGTGAGTGATGCATAGACACTGTAGAAAATCAAAATGACTTCTCAACTTCCAAGCAGTATATCAATGAAAAATGACTGACTATTCATTGTTTGTCAGTTTTATTATCTTCTATCACATGAGCAATAACTTTATGAACTCCACTTGCCCTGGGTTTTACGTTTCATCTATCTTGCCTCAGTGGTTCAGTGGTATATGTTAATCTCAAATGAAGGGGAAAATTTGAAGATTAAACATTTAACTGATTGTGCTATAGAGAAAATATTAAAAAACATGTGAATGGTAGTAAATTAATCACAGGCCACAACAGTAAATTTTTAGTGTAAATTACTGCGTTTGACAGAGAAACAAATATGTGGGGAGAAAGGAATGGTGAGAAAATTATTTCTTTTCTATGAAGAGTCAAGAGAAATCAGTACAAAGCAAAATATTGGTTGAATGAAGTTATGCTTCCACAAAACTGAGTTTTTTGTATGTGATCAACTGATGAATACAAAAAATTGACTTTTGAAAACCTCTTGCGGGCCACACTGAACTGTATTTTGTGTAGGCTTGGTATAATCAATACTTGATAAGACATTCTGCTTTGCATATTAAAATATGAAACTTAAATGAATTCAATATTTGAAACTCAATCAGTTCAAGGTAACAGTGGAAATATCCAAGAAAATATTGTTTCAAAGACTAAAATGATCAAGAGCAAATATCATAGATTTAAACCCAAAATAATAGCAAGTTCATAAGTAAATCAGTCAGTTATGTACTACATGTTGATACATGCTTAGGAGATCATGTATCGTTCAATACATGACTGACAAGGCAGATTTTTTCCTGCAGTAGGTTGCCATTTCTTTCTGTGGTAGACCAGTTGCCATCCAAAGCTAGAGAACCTGGTCTGTCCCGCTACTTACCCATAACTGGGTGGGGGAAGAAGAGGAGGATTCATACCTTTCCCAAGGATATTAGCACATATGTGAATGTAATGGATTCAAACTCGGCTCTCTGATTCCTCAATCCGAGCCGCTATCCATTACTCCACTGCATCTCCTAGATAAGTAAATATATAAGTATTTAGAGGAATTCTTCCAGGAAGTTCCTTGTATTGAGATATAATTTGTGTTTGCAAAGAAAATTGTTTTACAGAATTATACTAAAATTAGAAAAAATGAAATTTGTAAGCAAACATGCTCCCTCAGAATAAAGACAAGCTGACTAAATGTCATAAGAGTTCCAGAATCATGCAAAATTTGTTTAAACCTTTGGCATTCAATACACTCAAACTTGCCTGTAAATATCAGCTCTCAAATCTCATTGTTTCTCATCTAAGTCTCACTGCATGACTTCCTGTGTTATTTGTGATGATGATGTCACGTGTTATGGCAGAATATGAACAAGATGGGTTACGGTGGGTTGTACATTGAGATCCGTTATTTACAGGGTAGGTTGAATGCTAAAGGGTTAAACTTGACCGAGAAAATTAAAATTTGCCTTGACCAGTCAGTTGCATATTTCCTTGTTCATTCTAATGCCCAGTGGTACAGCATTCCTGAGATAGGTGAAGTGCTTAACCATTTCTAGAATGTAAAATCATTTCATATAATTTTATAAAAGAAATACATTAAAAATAGTAAAGAAAGGGATTGTCACTGGTTAGGAATTACACTGTGTTTAGCTGATAGACTTGATACATATATCTAAAGAATTAATGGATTTAAAAAAAATTTGATCCAACATATTTTTATTATTTTAAACGTCATTTTTAGTGGCTATCCGTATTTGAGTAGATGCTCTGTTTATGTATTTGCGTGTACATGTGTATATATATATATGCGTGTGTGTGTGTGTGTATATATATATGTCGGTGTATGTGTGTTTGCGGGTATGTATGTATATATGAATATATTTGTACTTGTAGTTATGTTTGTGCATGTATATATGTGCTTGTTTATATATTTATGCGCTTGTATATGTATTGGATTGGAGTGTATGCGTATGTAGATATGTGTGTGTGTATTGGCCTTTCAATTAAAACAAAATAAATAATAAAATATATAATTTTCAATTTTATAATAAAATTTAATATTAATTGGAATGATTTCTATTTTAGTCTAACCCTAACATTAAGGCATTAATTATTATATCCAATGTTCGTTGTCAAGTTATTTGAATTCTCATATACTTCTATTTTGATTGGTCATTACAGCTTATGTAACAGCGTTTTCCCTATCGAGGGGTGTTTGGTCGATTTGAACCTTTTAAAACTCCTTATTCTACATTCAACACTATCACTTGATAAGACACCAGAAGTGTTGAAAAAATGGCAATTATTGTAGTGATTTTGTAAACATATTTATGCTATAATTTTCGAATATATATATATAAAGAATTAAAGTATTCATTTTTAATCTGACATTTTTTAAAACTTAAATTGACGGAGAGCACATTTTCTTTATTAAGTTTTCACCAGTGAACAGACCGATAGACTAATACACTAATTGAAATAAAAACAACGGGCCTTTATTTTAAACAGGGGTATAAAAGCTTTGAAATTATATGATAAAAATAGGTACGCTATATTTATGAGTTAAAGTGTTCAATATCAGGGATAGAGCCTATGGGTGCTGACTTTAATGTTCACTTATATATATATATATATGTATCTATATATATGGAAACTGAGATTAACATAGAGCGGTGACAGTCTGTTTCATTTTTGAACGCAAATTGCCTGAAGATTACGTTCAAGCATAAAACAGACTGTCGCCGCTTAATGTTGATCTCAGTGTTTACTTTTATATTTATATGCGCTGTATCCCTGATATTGAGCATGGTTACCCATAAATATAGAATACCTTAAAACTATGTTTTTTATATATATTCAAACTGAAATTTTCATTTTTGTTATTTTATTATGTTATTTATAGAATAATAATGTTTTTATCTGAGAAATGTCAACATTTCTCAACTAGCCAAGATTTTGAATAAAGATCCTTTATTTTAAGAATTTATATAAATTGATGTTGAGAAATGAGAAAAGTCATTAGGAAGCAGTCTTTAAAAATAATGCTTTTTATCATGGTTCAGTATTTAAAAAAAAAAATTTACAGGTCACCTTCAACCTTGATTTTGTTCTATATCCAGCACTTCATCTGCATTGAATGTTTGGGCAATTGCTCAATTCGAAGAAATAGCACAATAAAGGGGTTACAGAGAGTGAGAGCAAGAGTAAAGAGGGATGTTTGAGGAAAGCATATAGAGAAAGACGGGGATCAGGATCAAAGCATCAGAAGTTGTCGAGTGACATTATACTTGAATATTTGAAGATTAAAACCATCAAGGAAACAAGTAAGATGAAGGAAGTTGCACTGTCGGGAAGTGCGAAATAAGAAGCTGTTGGAGTAGAAGAGGCGGTTACATTTAACCGTTTCGACAATGAAAGGGTTGCACCGAGATGCCAACCTAGTAGCA